ACTATAAAATATTCTTTAAGTAGCTACCTAATTAAATAAATTTACTCTTATACATTACAAAATCTTGTTATCTTATTCACTTTCCCTTCGTGGTTCTCAGCGTCCAAAATCGGAGGCGCACTGATTTAAGTTTAATTTAGCACTAAGTGTCGCCGCACACGGGCCACCGACCATAACCACATAACGCCGCCACCGGCATATTTCTTGTAGTTCTCATACATTTTATATGGACTCGCCACACACGGTACGCCGCAGGCCACCACACGCGTGGATTACATCCGTGTAGCCGAAAATCATATTGCGGATGGAAACCAACTTCCCACCAAGGTCACCTTGGTTGGTACGCTGGATTACATCCTTCTAGAATAGGTCTTAATGCGCCGATAAAAAACGCCGCCATACGTCACTCGCGCGATTCCCCACCCCTCTTTCCCTTACCTTAGTCGTCCGCTGTCGCGCGCTTCAGCCACTTTAGTAGCCGCTTCTAGCTACTCGTGGCGGCGTTTGTGGCCCGTGTGCGGCGACACTTAGTCTTATAAAATCTTAGATTCACAAGAGACAAGGGCCTCCCAAATATCTATCACCTATCACAAAAAACATATGGAACGAATTTCCTTTTCGGTCACTTTGGCGGATGGGAACTCGGCAACAATTTACCGTCACAACCCAGTGCGGAATAGGCCCAATGCAGAATGAGCTCAGGGACTAGAGGGCCCAGTGCGAATGAGGCAATTACCCTTAGTACGAGTTTTACAATTACGAAAACTATCATAGTTTTCGTGAGCTCGCACTCGTAAGTACTAAGGGTACTGATTTTATTGTTTTCGTTTCAATACAAATAAACAGTGTTTAAATTCTATCATTAAATCATCTGCGTCTTTTTAAATTTTAAGTATATTTGGTTACTTTTCACCAAAATGGATATAAAAACATAATTTACAATAATGAAAACTATGATAGTTTTCGTGAGCTCAAACTCGTTCTAAGGGTACAGTGCGGATACTCCCGGTCCATCGCCACCGCTCCCGGTCCAACACTTTGTGACTTTAAACCATGTCCGTCAACCCCCGCCGTTAGTGGTCGCCCTCGCTGCCCATCTAGCTCCTCACCCAGCTGCCTAGCTAGTTGCCTAGCAAGCTGCCATGGCTAGGCCAGGGGAACTGGATGACTCACCTGCATTAGGCTCATTCCGCAATGGGTAAGTAGAGTACCTTCTTAGGGTTCCTTACCACAAAAGAAAAAACCGGAAACTTTAGAGGATCACTGTTTTGTCCGTCTGTCAAGTCCCGAATTTAAATTTAAGCCATATACTCAAGCCTATTGCCACTTGAATCTGTGAAATAACCAAAATTCTTAATTAACGATAAAAAAGATTCGGTTGTTTGTCTGTCAAGATCCTTTATCTCGGTAACGCGTAAAGGTATAACGTTGACATTTAAATCATGTACTGAAGTCTATAGTCCCTTGAAGCTGAGAAAATATTGAACTTCGTAGTTAAACAGTCAAAAATGATACGACCTTTTATCTTTCCGTCTCTCAGGCCCTTTATCTCGGAAACGCGTAAAGAGAAGCAGATACGGCTGTTAAAGTTGTGTACGTAAAAATTTGTACGGAGCCCTCGGTAGGCGACCCCGACTCGCATTTATCGGTATGAAAACTCCGTGATCCCAACCTCTTTCGGGGTCCAATCTTGTTGTAATCTGTGCTTCCTTCAAAGCGTCGTGGATTTTTCGCGTCAATTCTGGTTCGCACCCATCCCTCATACTAGGTTAGAGGTTAGGTTTTTTATGGAATAGTGATTGGGTCATGATTTGCCACCAGGGCCGGATTTAGAGATGTGGGAGCCCTGGGGCAACGAAGATGTGGGGGCCAGAGCCAGGCTAATTACTTAGTTGGTTTGGTTGCTCCCCGTACCCGTCGAAATTTAGTTATTGTTTTCTCTTTGGCCACAGCCGCGCCTACCCTACCTTAAATCCAGCCCTGCTCGCCACGCGGGCCCAGTGCAGATTGGTGGATAGTATATAAATATATGTTTTTATCATATCTATTCGAAGACAGCTAGTTTGTTTTTGTTTACAGGGACCCAAATAGAGTTTTAATACCCTAGGGACTAAAAGTGATTTCAATTCGGAATCTGGATATTGTTCGGAAAAAGTTCCAATCACTAAAGAGATCATCATCGGACATTTTGTGTACAAGACTTCCGCGATTTCACCAAATAAAAAAAAACGAGCGAGGCCTTACAGTAGTCGCGTATGATGTGTAACATTTGAAACCTCACCTTATATTATTAAAAAAAGAAATAAAACCTACTACAAAAGGAATAAGCCCTTTGAACCTTATGTTCTAAAATCAAATAAAATAGCGCGCGCTTTTGCGACTTCCTGTTACACACTTCAGTCCCATTTTACGAAATCACTCCCACAAATTGCAGGAAAGCGAGAGGAAAGATGTTACACATCAAAAATAGTATGAGAACGAATACAAACGTGCGAAAAACATTTCGCCTTCGTTTAATTAGTGTCCTCCTCGTCTAGTGAGAATAAAAGTAAATAATAATTTTATTAACTTTTTATGAAGTGTAAAATTATTTATAGATGATAATTGATAAGGCAATAATATAACAACTTGATCAAAGTAAACGAAATGTAATTTAAATATATTCAGGAAAATACAGTGAAAGATATCAGAAAGAATGTCAGTTATTGAAACCCTGCCAAAAGTCATAGTTAATAGTTAGGCAAATCATAGACATAAAGAGGTTGATATACTATCTCTTCACAAATTTTGTAAAGGTAATTTTAATCTAAAAATGTATTCGACAGTGGAAAAGCTATATTGCTTATACGCCACTTTGGTACTGCTTAAAAATTAACATTAAATAATAGTGAAATTAAGTAAATTTTTAAGCAGCACCGAAGTGGTGTATAAGCAATTTTGCTTTCCACTGTCGTAATACAGTCTTTCATCTACAAAATCCTGCTCTGGATTCAAAAAACGCTCTCGCCTTTAAAAGAGTTATTTGCTTCCTTAGTAAGCAATCTACTATTAACTTCGTTCCAACCGAGTGTTCCACAACACTCACGCAACTTTTGCATCCTTTCCGCCGTCCTGGCCCTTCGTCCTTTCCCCAACTCCGGCACTAATTCCCCGATTCCCGTGTCGCCCTCGAAGTGGGACAGCGTGTCAGCGTCACGCAAACGGCACGTTCTCGTGAACTGGGTCAAATGCAATCGATCAAAACTATACCACCGTGCATGCAATTATTATTAGCTGTGGGAATGTCCCATGAATAAAACAGGTTTAGAATTCATCAACCGTCTTCGCTGAACTGGAATCCTATCACACTTACTGAACTAGAACTGCTGATTTTACTTAATTGATTCTTAGTTCTGGTAGAACTGCTGTATCAGCTATCTTCGCGCCTGGACTTCACCTTCACTTAACATCAGGTGGGGTGGAGTCATTTGTCAGACCTATCTATAAAAAAAAATGTGGTGATAGGTAATTTTCACAGAACACGGAAAGAGTTAGAAAGGCCTGGTGAGCGTTACAGTTATGTGTGAGCAAATGCTCATAACTTGAAAAAAACTTAGTTTTATTGCGTCGTTGCTCTCTGTGTAAGCGCTGATTATTTCGATTGTTTTATGTCACGCCGTTTGATTGGCTATTATCTAATAGGTGGAAGTGTAGTGCAGGCGAGTCGGCGACATCGATTCCCGTACAAACGGTCTCTGATCACCCTTAATTTTTTTCGTTCATCTGTAGCATGTTGCATTACATTATTAATTGTTATAAAAAACAGGCCTTATCAACAAGCATCGGTGGTTCAGTAGTAGAAAGCTCGACTGCTACGCAGGCGGCCCGGATTCGATTCCTAGTCGAGGCAGGATTTTATTTCTAACTAACTCCACGCGTACGACGTCGCGGGCGGCCACTGCCGCTAGTACTATAATATTACCATACCGAGCTATGAAGCCATTATTATCTTTGATTTGGTCCTAGTCTCTATTGAAAACTGGCTCGAATTTGACGATGTGCCAAATCAAATCATCTTGTTCGTTTTTCTGCATTAAATAGCCCTTAATCTTACTCCAAGTTTTGTATTTTAGTCATGTCACAGTTACGATTTGTAAAAGTATTTTCGGTCCTGTATTTATGGCTGTAGGCATGGATGTATTTACAGAGCTAGGTTTAAGGCAGGGCTAGCGGAGCTATGGCAATAGAGCCCTCTGAAAAGAGAAGCAAATAAACTAAATTTCGATGGGCCCCCAACCAGGGGGGGGGGGGGTCCAAATCGTACGTGGCCCGGAGGTCTAGATTACCTATTTGTGCCCCGGGCCTACAAACCTCTGAATCCGGCCCTGAGTATTTACCTTAGGGCCAAGAGGGCCATGGCTCGAGGCGGCCGGCAGCAGGTTCGAAGGGCGGCTGGAAGAGCTGCGAGGGTCGGCACATTGTATTGAATCGTTGCTGAACTACATTTTGACTTAATTTACTAATACTCGAGGAACCCGCCTGTTTCAAATGGCAATAGACCCGGGGCGCCAGATTTCCAAATACGCCCCTGGTTGCAGAGTTCGGTTGTAAATAGTTTCGAGTTCTTTTTAATGTGGCTGTTTTTTGTGTTAATTCAGTCAGCTAATTTTTCTCAGTCGATTATGAATCCTAAATCTATGTAGAATAAAACTCAAATTCAGTAGGTGATCTTAGTCATCTTAACCTGTTGCTGTTTGTGCAATCAAGGCCATAATGATTACGAATCAAGTTGCATTACGTATTGTCTTTATCAAAATACAAAGATTTACTGGGCTGGGCTTTGTCTATATTAAAAAACCGTTAGTTTGTCTTAATTAGATATTTATTCTCTCACCAAAACCAGTCCCTTACTGTGAGCTACCTATTATTTATTCTGCGGTTTATGTTTAAATACCAACGTTCTGTTTATAAACTTGCTATCTGCAACTTCATTACGTCACGTGATCATGTTGCCTTGTCCTATCAGGCTAGCGGTGTTTATTCTGTACTCAAGTTAAAATTAAACATTACATTTTGATAATAAACTCTTTTGTTACATTTGAATATTATTCACAAATTGCGCTGAAGATAATGGAGGACGTATCTGCGTATTTCGCCCCATCACTGTTCGTGAATCATGGCGGTGGACCAAATCCAGTTTTGGGTGAGCAAAGTAACCTTGAAATCGCCAGATCATTGAAGGAAGTGCACAAAATCGTCGATTTTAATCGTTTGAAAGCGATCATTCTCGTGACTGCTCATTGGGAGGAAAATCAGGTGACAATATCGTCAAATGAGCGTCACGAGTTGCTGTTCGACTATTATAATTTCCCACCGGAAAGTTACAAATACAAGTATGAGGGGCGTGGCGACCCAGAATTGGCGCGAAAAATCCACGACGCTTTGAAGGCAGCAAAGATTACAACAAGATTGGACCCCGAAAGAGGTTGGGATCACGGAGTTTTCATACCGATGATGTTGATAAGGCCCGAAGCGGACATACCAATAGTGCAAGTGTCTATACTGAAGAATCAAGATGCTAAAACACACTATGAGATAGGGAAAGTTTTGCATCAGTTCCGAAAAGACGGTGTGTCCGTTGTAGGCTCAGGATTATCTTACCATAATATGGGGAGATTCAAGGCTTCGAGGGGTGAAAAAGATGAGTTTATAGAGAATAAAGAGTTTGATGAATTTTTGACTACAGTTTGCACAAGCGACGAAAAAAATAATATAGTCCTTTGGAAAGAGGCTCCGGGAGCACTGGCTTGCCATCCGGAGGGTGAAGCAGATCATTTGATGCCCCTTTTAGTAGCGGCAGGTGCTGGAGGTCCATCTAAAGGAAGAAAAGTATTCGGAACAGCGTATCGTAACAGGTTTTTGTTAAGCAGCTTCGTGTGGCAGTGACGAAATGCAAGATAAATTAATGTACCTATTTATTTAATTTATTTGTTTTTTTTATAGTACCTACCTCTTTATTTATGGCTTTCAAAGTTAGGTTCTGAACGGGAAATAATGTTTTCATTTTATAATCTCTATTATCTCATTTTACTTTTCTACTTTCGCGATTTGGTCCGCAATTTAGTTTTTTAAGAATCTCATAGAAACTTAACGTTGTTCCGGGATAAAATGAATCCTAGATGTCTGTGTGCCAAATTCCATCCAAATCGGCTCAGCCGTTTTCGCGTGGAGTAACATACAAACTCTGAATCTTTTACATTTATATTATAACGTGGTACCTACTGATTTCTACTTCTTAGATATGGTGTGCTAAAAAAGTTATTAATAGTAAGTAGATAGTATTTCTTTTCTTTTTCTCAATAGCTAGATTTTAACTTATAAAAAATATTTGTTTTTTTTTATAAACTATAAAAAATATTAGGTACCTACATACCCAATTAATTCTTTATATGTTTATAGAAACAAGTGCTTTAGAACACAATAAGTTATTTGAAGAGAATATTATTTTTCTAACCTACAAGATATGTTTTCTTTTACTAGTTAACTGACTGTTGATTTCAACTACTACTTAAACATATTGAATGACTAATACCTAATAAAACACTCTTTGTATACAGGATGGTCCAACTAGTGACGTCAACAATTTTTTTAGATTTTTCGAATTTTGGGTGTATCCGAAAATACCCCATGTATGTTCCGCGATTTTTCTTAGTTGTCGAGTTAATTTTTTTTTTTGTATATTTTTAATGATTTCTGCCAGCGAGGTTTCAAAAATTCATATCTTTTTTCGTAGTAGGTATTTAGCAGTCTTTTTTTTGTGACATAATTGTCTTCAATGTTGTTTTAATAAAAAAATAACTCAACTTCCTGCAATTAATTAAAGTTACTCAAAAAAAGGCTTGAAAGTTGGAACTTTAGTTTTAAGTAGGATTTACTCAAACATTGAACTTCAATTTAGAAGTACAAAAAGGAATTTCCACAGGTTCTCGCTAAAATTTAAAACTCTGCATGCTTCTAAACTACCAAAAATCATAAAAAGAAATTGTACTTAATCAGCCTATTTTTGTTGTAATTGGCTTTTGAAGGCGGATAGCTAAAAATCATTGAAACATGATTAAAGCATTAAAAATATTTTATCTACTTTTCATTATTGTTACGGTAAATTTAACTTAAAAATGTAATTTAAAATTAATTTTAATTGAAATTCCTGTAAAATAACTTTAGCATGTGTAATTTTACAATACTTTCGGTTTCACCACTAAGATTTAAAATGCGAACAAGAATTGAGACAAAAACTTACAGAAGCGGAAAGAAAAATAAAGCAAGAGAAAAGACTGCAAAATACCTAAGTACTACGAAAAAAGATAAATTTTTTTGAAACCTCGTTGGCAGAAATCATTAAAAATACACAAAAACAATTATAACTCGAAAACTAAGAAAAATCGCGGAACTTACATGGGGTATTTTCGAATACCCCCAGGTGCGAGGAATCTAAAAAAAATTGTTGACGTTACTAGTAGGACCACCCTGTATACTGTATGACACAGCAATATAAATGTCAATGAACGTTGTAATGGTAGCGACTTCATTTTTTTGTAAATGTTCCTACTTGTTTTAAATGCTGATGAGTTACTTGCGCCCATTCTTCTCATCAACTAAAAAAATATCCTGAATGGTTAGTAGGAAAAACATATTGGACGATTCAAAAGAGTATTTATATAATGTATGAAACAGCTTGGACACAGCCATCAAAATGTGAATGGACGTTGTATTGGTTTAGATATGATTTTTTTGTAATGTTGCTGCTTCTATGAAACGCTGAGAGTTACTTGCGCCCATTCTTCTCATCAGCAAAAAGATGTGCTGAATAGGAAGTGAAGGTGGTAGGAAAAAATATTGGACGATTCAAGTGCTTTCAATAAGTCAGTTAAAATACGTAATGGTTAATTTAACCTTCGTTTTATAAACATTGTGTATCAGGTAGATTAATAAATAAGTATAAGACACATATTTTTTCTAAATCACACAACATTACAGAGTTAAATGAATTTGTAGTGTCGCATGATATCAGGTCTTGGTACAGAACTGCCACTCGCAAAGTTTTGGTTAACTGAGAAAAGAAAAAATACGTGCCCAATATTTATTGATAATCTAACTGATGGATAAAATAGTATTTCGTTTATTTTACCCGTCATCACCCATATTCTACAAATAAAACAAAAAAAGTAGCTTTCTCCAAAATATTTTTTATCACTGTACCTACTAAAATTCATCACCCTTAATATCATCTATTAAATATCTACATTTATTGTCTTAAATCAAAATATCAAATTATCTATTTGTTGAAAAAATAGTTTATATACACTTTTGTTTAAGGCAAACTTGTTTTTATACATAGCAACTTAGAAAAATGTAATTACATTATAGAAATATTTACAAACCCAATTATGTGACCTGCAACTCGTAACAAAAAAATAATGTGATAGACTATAATAAAAAATATATTATTATAGGGCACACAGTTATTTATAGATAAAAACTAAGGCAAATAGTTACACCATCATAAGGAACTATTACTAGAAAAAATTCCACATGATCCAGGTTTCAGACTATCCCGTATCTTCTGCTAACCAGATTGTATTATTAATAATATTTTTCTTAGATTTAAATATAGCAGTTAAATGGTTAAAATAAAAAATCTAATAAGGTATTTACACTTTCAACCATGTTTATCTTATTCAAGTACAGTAGAACGCCGATTATCCGAATTAATTGGGACAGGGGTCGATTCGGATAATCGGACATAGACTCATAATATAGAAAAACGAACTGTCACACATAGAATAAACCTTATTAAGATTAACAAACACAGTTCTACAATAGTAAATACAATAATAATTATATTTTACGCTTAGGGCCGATTCGGATAATTAGGAATTCAGTTAATCAGCGTTCGGACAATCGGCATTCTACTGTATTAACAATTTTTCAAACAGTGAATGAGCAAATAAACAAGTTTACATAATGGCTAAAGCCATTAAGCAAAGCATCCATTCCCATATGATTGATTACGACTGCTTTGTTCAACTTCTATGATATTATGCAGTGCCTATATTAACTATTCATATAATTATAGCAGTAATTAACATAATCAGTGTACATAATTATAAATTAGTGATGCATATATTCAACAAACTTTGCTAACCCGAGTTCCACCTATCCCTATTAGTTTAACCACAGTGCTAGGAATGATTTCTTTAGATATAGGCTGTCCACATTAGACATTAGGCATTAGGTGTTGTCCACAATAGCAACCTCATTGTACGATAAAAAAAAATGTACCTGTGCTTGTGCAACGAATTATGATTTGTATTATGACACTTCTAACGAAATCTTTATGTTTGAACTCAATGCACAACAAGATAGCATTGTGTCATAGTACGATTGTTGTCAATTAGGATGATGCTATTAATGTAAAAACCAATCATAAATAGTATTTCTAATAAGAACTCATGAACATTTCAACTCAATTTCCATTTGGGTATTTCAACCTTCTTCTTTTATATATTAAAATTTAGGTCTTCATAAGTTAGTGAGTTTTTGTAAATGTGTAATAACTAGGTTAATATTAATTAATCTTTCCAAACAAAGGCACTCAAACGGAATGTTCTACTCATGTCCCAATTGAATATTCTTGTACCAGGTTTCGGTCCACCGGCACCTGCGATAACAATTAGAGGCATGAAATGCTCTGCAGCCCTCATTGGATGAGCTTCTGTTGCTCCTGGCTGTTTTCGCCACATCAATAAACCTTCTTTCCTTTTAGATTCATCTTCGTCTGTACAGACTTTATGTAAATACTCATCAAATTCAGCATTCACTACTTTCCCAGTACGCCCCATCATAAATTCCCTCATATTGTGGTAAGACATTCCAGACCCAAGTACTGCTACCCCTTCTTTTCTGAACTGATACAGTGTTTCTCCAAGTTTGTAATGTTCTTCAGGATCCTGACTGCTGAGGACAGACACCTGTACTATGGGCACATTTGCTGCTGGGTTTATCAGCATCATTGGTACAAAAACTCCATGGTCCCAACCTCTCTTAGGGTCTAATTTAGATTTTATTCCTGCTTTAGTCAATGCTTGTTGAATACGATTCGCTAATTCAGGGTCGCCTGGTGCGTCATACTTATATTTGTAAGATTCAGGTGGAAACCCGTAATAATCAAAATATAAACTGTGCTTTGTACCTGATGATATTGTCACAGAACTCTCTTCCCAATGAGCAGTGACCAAAATGATGGCCTTCGTTTCCGCTAGATTCAAATGCTTCTTTACTTCGTCCCGTAAAAAGTTTGTGAGTCCTGCATGGTCCGCGTCGCCTAGAAGTGGCAGAGGACCTCCACCATGGTTGACGAAGAGAGCGGGAGCGATCACAGCCATTTTACGAAACGGACCAGTAAAATACCGAATCAAATTCATAGACAGCAATGACATAAACACGATAAGGGCCACTTGGACAAGTATTGATAAAGTATTTAGAATGAGCATGAAACTGGTTAATTATTCATCTAATTACACAAAAAAATCTCATGAAGGTTATGATTATGAAGTGTCACCAAGGTTTTGATTATTTTCACGTTTGAATGACTGACAGTGACGGATCTACAAAACCATGGACATACAGTCAAGCCATATCTACGAGTCACCGTAACCAGCGTGTCGTTGCAGTCCTCCCGGCATCGGTCTACGAATGCTTCCCCTTGACCGAATCTGTTGCGGCAACCCTAACTTGAGCTCTGGTTGTACGCTGGCTGTCCCCGAAACGCGGGAGAAGCACTTCACGGGTTTTTCACCATGCGTACGGTGGTAACAAACCAGGCGGGTATTAGGCTAGGGTGGACTACTATAGCCAGAAAAGCGGGTGGAAGCTCCAGTATCCCTGAGTCGCTACTTACCATACCCACAGGAAGAGAGGGGGGGGGGGGGGGCACAGTGGGTCGAAAAAGTAATATGAGGGACATAGAGGTTTTTTTAACAAATCGTAGTTTTTGGATGCCGATCGATAGTCCTTCAGACACTCGTAAAGACAATTTATATAACATTTTTCACTAAACCTAATAGTTTGCCCATAAAAAAATAATTTGTGTTTTTTTTTTGTATGAAACAAGACCTAAAGTACTAAATATCTCCCAGGAACTGCTAGACCGTGCCTTATAATGACTTAGGTTGGCATAAGTGCATTGTGTACTAACATCATAATTTATTTTTAGCTGCTCCAAACAGCAATTTTGCCTGTTAAATAGTTCGGAACTTTCTACGCACTGTGGGGCGGTGAGTAGTATTCTTTTTCCGTCACCGCACTGATAAAAAGTATTTATTCATCTGGGACGACCAAGGGACGACATATAACACGACTAGAGGAAATAAAATCTCTAGAAACTTGGAGCCTTAGAAACTGTCTGACTAACACAGATAAGAACTTTAACGTGATGGCGAGTCATAAAATAGATCTTTTTAGTTGCAGTGACTACAGTGCCATTCGGACTGCAGGATCCCAAATAGGCTAGTTGACTCATGTCGAATTGTATTAAATAAATGTTTATTTCTTACAGTATTTGGTCTAAGGAACCTAAATATATCGATTTCACTTCATAAAAGCAGAAGATTGCTGTAGAAATTTAATTTTAAAAAATATTTTTTAGTCTATATTTTTTAAACACTAAAAACGCTGTTCGCTACATCCGCCATGATTGTGACGTCTCTTTCAGTAAACAACTAAATGTCATTCGCGTGTTGTTATGGGTGGATTCTTTAGTCTGAATAATTTTTTCTTAAAACACTTTTAACTTTAGAAAAGTTTCCGTTTACTGATTTTTTTGACAAAACTAATTATGGATGCCGGCTTTGTGAAAGCAGAAAGCACAAATCTGCCAAGAATTGACGCATTGATGGTTGGTGAATTTTTTGCACTGAACCCCGATTTCTGCTCTGCGGAGCAGAGAAACGACAAGGCATCTATGTAAGTAAAGTGCATTTAGTATTACAATGTAGTAATAAACATAATACTGATACAACATATGAATTAAGTGTAATAAAGTTGCGTAGGTTAATTTCTTTCGGCACTTTAATCCACAACATTCCTGGAGTCTTCAAGGATGTGTTTTTATATTCTCGTACAATACAATAATGATAATTACTTTATTTTTCGTGGTATTTATTAGAAATCATGTTCTTTTCATTATAAACTCAGATAAGTTATTTTCTACGTGCTTACGAGTTTTTGTTTACTACAGTTGACATCATAGCATAGACAATCTATAGACTAAAATGGCCGACAGCGTTTTTGTATGTCCATGAAAATTCTATTTTAAAATTAAAGATTTGTAGCTTTCTAGGTCTCAAAAAAATACAATACATTTTTTTTCGGTTTAATAGAACATTTATTAACCATTTTAAACCTTATTCCAAAAAGGGTCAACTAGCCTATTCTGAAACATTAATAATAATCTCGAATCTCGAGATAAATGTAGTATTCGTAATCAGCTCCACCTAAAACTATAAATTCGACAAATACTCTTAGTAGCTTTATTTGAAAAGCAAAACCCCGCCTGATTAAAAAGTAAATGAAAAGAAAAAACCCAAGGTTAGTAGTCTAGAATCTAGTCAAGTAAAGAACAAAAGTACTTTAACTGTTAGGACCAATTATTTGATCCATTCTATAATTTCTAATGGGTCCCGCCCCGACTGTTGAAATAGATTTGTTCCTTACTAAACAGAATAGGCTAGTTGACCCTTTTTGGAAAAAGGTTTTAAATGGTTAATAAATGTTCTATTAGACCGAAAAAAAATGTATTGTATTTTTTGAGACCTAGAAAGCTACAAATCTTTAATTTTAAAATAGACTTTTCATGGACATACAAAAACGCTGTCGGCCATTTTAGTCTATAGATTGTCTATGCTATGATGTCAACTATAGTAAACAAAAACTCGTAAGCCCGTAGAAAATAACTTATCTGAGTTTATAATAAAAAGAACATGATTTCTAATAAATACCACGAAAAATAAAGTAATTATCATTATTGTATTGTACGAGAATATAAAAACACATCCTTGAAGACTCCAGGAAAGTTGTGGATTAAAGTGCCGAAAGAAATTAACCTACGCAACTTTATTACACTTATTCATATGTTGTATCAGTTTTATGTTTATTACTACATTGTAATACTAAATGCACTGTACTTACATAGATGCCTTGTCGTTTCTCTGCTCCGCAGAGCAGAAATCGGGGTTTAGTGCAAAAAATTCACCAACCATCAATGCGTCAATAGGCTAGTTGACTCATGTCGAATTGTATTAAATAAATGTTTATTTCTTACAGTAGTTGGTCTAAGGAACCTAAATATATCGAGTTCACTTCATAAAAGCAGAAGATTGCTGTAGAAATTAAATTTAAAAAAATATTTTTTAGTCTATATTTTTTAAACACTAAAAACGCTGTTCGCCACATCCGCCATGATTGTGACGTCTCTTTCAGTAAACAATTAAATGTCATTCACGTGTTATTGTGTGTGGATTCTTTAGTCTGAATAAATTTATCTTAAAACACTTTTAACTTTAGAAACGTTTCCGTTTACTGTTTTTTTTTGACAAAAGTAATTAATTATGGATGCCGACTTTGTGAAAGCAGAAAGCTGCCAAGAATTGACGCATTGATGGTTGGTGAATTTTTTGCACTAAACCCTGATTTCTGCTCTGCGGAGCAGAGAAACGACAAGGCATCTATGTAAGTACAGTGCATTTATTATTACAATGTAGTAATAAACATAAAACTGATACAACATATGAATAAGTGTAATAAAGTTGCGTAGGTTAATTTCTTTCGGCACTTTAATCCACAACATTCCTGGAGTCTTCAAGGATGTGTTTTTATATTCTCGTACAATACAATAATGATAAATACTTTATTTTTCGTGGTATTTATTAGAAATCATGTTCTTTATATTATAAACTCAGATAAGTTATTTTCTACGTGCTTACGAGTTTTTATTTACTACAGTTGACATCATAGCATAGACAATGCATAGACTAAAATGGCCGGCAGCGCTTTTGTATGTCCATGAAAATTCTTGAAAAGATTTGTAGCTTTCTAGGTCTCAAAAAAATACAATACATTTTTTTTCGGTCTGCTAGAACATTAATTAACCATTTACAACCTTTTTCCAAAAAGGGTCAACTAGCCTATTCTTGGCAGATTTCTGCTTTCTGCTTTCACAAAGCCGGCATCCATAATTAGTTTTGTCAAAAAATAACAGTAAACGGAAACTTTTCTAAAGTTAAAAGTGTTTTAAGATAAATTTATTCAGACTAAAGAATCCACCCACAGTAACACGCGAATGACATTTAGTTGTTTACTGAAAGAGACGTCAAAATCATGGCGGATGTGGCGAACAGCGTTTTTAGTGTTTAAAAAATATAGACTAAAAAATATTTTTAAAATTAAATTTCTACAGCAATCTTCTGCTTTTATGAAGTGAAATCGATATATTTAGGTTCTTTAGACCAAATACTGTAAGAAATAAACATTTATTTAATACAATTCGACATGAGTCAACTAGCCTATTATGGATTTGTTTCTCTTTTCAGTTTTTTTTTATTAAAAATTATATTTTACGCAGGTGGGTTTTCTGGTTTGTTGAAATTTCATAAAATTTTATTTTCTGAATCATCTTTTAAGACCCTTCACCCGCATCTTATATGCTCAGAAATGCTAGATGTATGACTTATATTGTGGGATAGAGGAAGTCTTCTTGTCATTTTTTCCACCACACGGGCCTAGTGTTGATTGGTGGGTGCAAATGACTGCCGATGCAGCCGGGATCAACGGCTTGACCTGCCTTCCGAAGTACGGAGGAGTTCGAGATACCAAGCTATTGGTCACTCATCCAATGATCGGCCATTGTGAAAGTTGCTTAACTCTACGATCGCAGGCCGAACGCGCTCTAACACCTGCGCTATCGAGCTCCATACGTACGTGCTCAATACGTTTTTCTGAAATATTTAGTTTTTTTTTATCATTTGGATCAAGCGTGCGTCGTTAAAAGAATAGGATTGATCTTTGCGGAGATATTGAATTACTGAGAATTTTCTAATTTATCACACATAATAAAATTATTAACTTTTTAAATCAACGAAGGAAACCATATCAGGAAAACAAACCACCTCAATTCACTGAAGTCTATATTAACTATTATCTCCTTTAGATAAAGAATAACTAAACTCAAATATAAGCTTGGGTCAGTTACGTTACGCAGTGTTTTACACTATTTATTGTATGCAGTTCCGTGTGCTCTGAATTAATTTTATTATGATTGGGTGCGGCCAGAGTGCACTCAGATTCAGACTCAGATTCAGATTTCGAAAACAAGCGCGAGAAATAAACAGTGTAGTCTAAGCAGGTTGCTTGCTTTTTCTCGCGCTTTGTTTTCTGAGTCCGAACCCGAAGGGTACGGCCAGATTGCACTCCTGATTCAGATTCAGATTCAGATTCCGAAAACAAGCGCGAGAAATAAACAGTGTAGTTAAAGCAGGGTGGCCATAGTGGCAGCAGGCCGCGCAGGTTTCGGAGTCAGACACTTTACCGGAATGTTTAGGTCATTCAGATTCTGAATTCACCAGCGCCGCTCGGCAGTGTTGCCAACTCGGATTTTGAAAAATGCGTAGGCCCGATGAGAAAATTACGTAGAATTGGTAAATTTTGCATATGAAAAGTACGTAGATCTACGTACTTTTTTCTGAGTGAAATGAAGAAGTTAGGTGAAACCGAATTAAACGAGTATTTTATTATACAATTTCTTTAAAAACGGGCGATAGAACAAAGAGTTCTTGGAGAAGTCGCTGCATTGGAAGCATAAATGCTTTCAACTATACCATACCACAGCATGGTAAACCATGCTGTGGTAGACATTTACTATCAGACACAGACACTGGTGGATGTCGATTCTGGCATGATTCTCTAAATTTAAAACTAAATTTAACATCAGTCTCTCCTTTTCATTCTTTATAGAGAATGACAAGGATACATTGTTGTTAAATAGGCTAGTTGACACTTTTTGCAATTATGTTTTGAAATGTTAATGATTGTTCTATCAGACCGAAAAAAAATGTATTTTTTTTACCTACAAGACATACAAAAACGCTGTATATTCTATAGACTTATCTATGCTATGACGTCAAAACATTTGTAAACGAACACACGCAAGCACGTAGGAAATAAACTTTCCGAGTTAATATTATAAAACCATGATTTCTAATAGTTCACATGAAAAATTTAGTAGTTATCATGATACACTTGGTAAAAGACTAGAAAAGTTGTGGTTTAAATTGCCAAGAGAAAAAAACATACTTCATGAACACATGTTTAAAACTTGCTAAATCCTGTAACTTTATCCACTGAAAGTCATTTTTTTTGCAAAGATCAATTCGATGTAAGTACTCATTGAATAATATTACAGTTTAAAAATACAATTTTCAAGGTTATGAATGTTTTTTAATAACCAAAAAATTTTGTTTCTTTTTATAGTTCGCCATAATTTTGTACCCTAATTGAGTGGATTATATAAATATAATATTTGTGATAGTATAGTAAATTGTAAATTAAAAGCTGTGATTGAAATTTTAAGTTCTTAAGAGCAAACATATATAAAGTCTTATATTAAACAAAACTGCTATATTATTAGTCATTATCTATGTTTATAATTTTTTTATGATAATATTTACTTTAAAATTTTAAAGTTTAACATAGATATGCAAAACTCATTATATAATAAAAAAAATGTTATTTGTCATTAAAAATAATTTCATTAACATAGCATTTTTTTGTATTATTAATGATTGTTCCTACATATACTATAAACCATACAAATTATTCAAATTACACTACCCTCGCGAATCCAGACCCAGCTTTCCGGTTAATCCGGACAGTCTGTTCCCATCATATCCAGATTAGTGAGATTGTAATAAATTCTTACCTAATGGTTATAACAAGGCGTTCTTCTGGAAGAATCTTGTGTTTGTGCAAATTACACCAATTCTTCATCATTTGAGGTTCACATTTTTTTAAAATGTAGTAGAACGTTTCCACTTCCATCCTAAAATATTGGAAGAAACGTTTCCTATCATCTTTGAATTGGGGAAACAAATGGTGGTATTCCCCATATTCACTCCTTAATTTATTAATTTGGTGAACACCGATTCTCTCGCGTTTTAATTTATAATGACAACTATCAGTAGCCATTAACAAGCACGCTAGATCTTCATTAGAAAATTCCATGTTTAAGTTTCTGGATCAACGAACATATAACAATGTACTCTATGACTCCGTACGCGTCGAATGAGAAAGAGAGACTGTTGAATGACTGTCGATTGCGACTTTGTACAGATTAAAAGTTTATGAAGTGGTTTTATTTTTATATAAAAATGTAATAAAAAAAAATTTCCGTTTCGCCCAAAACAAAATTTCGCTTTAAAACCCCCCCAAATTTCGGGTAACTCCCCCCCAACCTAGCAATAGTGCTCGCGTCCGCGTCTTGTAATCTGCCTCCACTGTGGCCATCACCTGCTTTGCTCAAGCTGACATCTCACGAGCCTGCTTTCTGAATCTGAATCTGAATCTGAATCTGAGTGCACTCTGGCCGCACCCGACTACACTGTTTATTTCTCGCGCTTGTTTTCAGAATCTGAATCTGACTCTGAATCTGAGTGCACTCTGGCCGCACCCATTGAAAGGAAGCCTAGATAGTATAGAGATGTTATTCAGTTTTCATTCGCTTTTCTTGAAATCTGTTTCCGAACGTTTGCTTAGTTTAAAAAGGACAGCGTTATCGAGCAAGAAAGAGAGAAAATTAACGTAAAACTAAATATGGCGTCTTTCTGAGTTGTCCTTTTCTCACAAAGCTTATTTTACAAATTGCCTCGACTTGCAAGCGTTTTCGTCACAATATTTTTTCTGTTTGGTAGAAAGAGAACATAAACAGACTTTGCCGTAGTATTGACACTGCTGAATTTTCCAAACTTCTATGTATATTTGGATAATGTCGGACACAAGGAAATGTATATATTTATCTAAAAATCTAAGTAATAAAGCGTCGCTGTGCGTTGTGGTAGTGTTCTAGTGCGAAATACAGGGTTAAAGAGCAAAAATGGACAAGAAAAACAAGAAAAGGGTGGTCATAAAGCGAAAAACTGATGAGCCAGCCGACACTGAAAAAAAGGCAAAAGTTATGGTGAATCGCGGGAAAACGGACCCTGATAAAGAAAAAGTGGAGGTTGTGAACCAGGTGGTTGAAGTGCCGGTGGAGCAGGGCCAGCAGATAGTGCACACAGGCCAGCTAGTCGAGGGCAATTTCGAGCAGCCAGTGTTTGTAAACATGAAGGGAGAACCCGTGCAATTAGGTACAGTTTACACCTATCTGCTTTTTTCGATAACAAAAATATAAGGAATGGCATTAGCCTGCTAAAAACTAAATATCCTACTGCCTTATTAAGTAAGTTAATAAGGCAGTAGGATATTTAAGTTGTACCCAATTTTAAAACCGATCCTAACTCCTTTTATTTGCTATAAAAAAGGCTGAGACAGCATTAGGTTGTTTAAACCGTGACTAAGTTTAGTCTACATTTTGGAATAAGGCAGAGTTTTTCTCCAGCATAGGTATTTGTCCAACAAACTTTACACCTAGCATTATAGCTTAAAGTACTGATAATGTTCTGCAATAGTAAAAAATTAAAGTTACAAAATGCCACATTTACTCTAATTGTGACAGCTTTTTCTTGTGGTTTGATTGACCTGTGATTTTAACAGTTTTTTTGTTTTGTTTATTTCACTTTGAATATTAAATTTGAATTGGTTTGTTTACAGGTCCTAATACAGTGATCCTATATGAGCAAAGTGGGAACCCATCAAATTTTGCATTTGGAGGAATGTGGACCATGGACTCGTCGGGACGGATTGTGATGGCGGAAACAATTTACGATGTAAAAGGTGAACCAGAGGAGGAGAGTACTACATTTGTGCAAAACACCACTGAAGTAAGCAATGTAAGTTTTATGTGTCTTGGCAATAATTGATTATGATGCTTGCAGACTGAAGCGAAAAATTAGTTCAGTGGACCAATGTTAAAGTAGGTATAATAGTGAAAACAGAAAGCGATATGGGTTCATAGAACAAATTTTCGCTTGCTTCTAAAATGCCCATTGGTTGCTTTATGCTTATGCTCTTCCAAGTTTTAGTCTTAAAGAGCATGGACTGACTAAACAAGAAATTCCAGTAAAGTACTCAATCCTACTAGAAAGTGTGTTTATTGACTATAAAATCTAGAGAATTCTTATTCACTATTCGACTTTGTTTTCATGGTCTTAATTGTGACCAAATTTAACACAGCACATTTTAAAAATTCATACCTTCCGAACGGGATTGTCCCAGATTTAGGTCAACGGTCATGACTTTGTAACAGTCCCATTATCAATACCTTTGAGTTTCAGTTTGACTGAGCTAGAATAAAACGACTTGTGCGCAAAAAATAAATATAATTAATAGAAGTAATTTTAAATTGGCGAAAGGACATAGGATTTAAGGAGGTGGAAAAGGGGGTGGAAGAAAGGATTTAAGGAGGTGGAAAGGGGGGTGGAAGAAAGGATTTAAGGAGGTGGAAAGGGGGGTGGAAGATAGGGCAGTCTGAATTTTTCTCATGTGTGTAGAGAAACACTTATGAAACACGCTTCTCTGTGATCCATTCCAGCGGGATCCAGCAAATTATTGGACCTAATCCTGCAAAATGTATGGGGGATCCTGGTATCCGGGATACATTGCATTCCCTACATATAATATACACACAATGCCTTACACTGCATTTAACATTATGAAACTAAATATTTGAATTGTGTAATTACCTTTCTAGCAACAAGTCGAGGAACAGCCTAATACATTTCAACAGTATGAGTTGAGCAATACCCAGGTCGATACTGCGCAAGAATATGAAGTAGCTATAATAGAGAATCCTAGCACAGAGGCAGCTGAAAGGTATGGTATAATTGAATAAGTTAGATGAGCCTTTATTTGCTGGCAATCAGACTCTCTAAGCACTTCTCCATTTAAGAAAATAGATAAAGCTAGGTAAATTATTTTATTTTTAATTTTAACCAATTACCGCTCTAGATTATTCAATCTAAGGAAAATATTATTAAAAGAAATTCCACTTGGTCTAGGTTGGGACGGATAGTGCGTCCGCCTGGACAGGGGATGTAGGTTTGAAGCCCATCTTGGGGCTGGACAGAGTCAAATTTCTTTTATGAATATTTTAGTTAGATGTAAGCTTGCAAAGTTTCTAACCTTCAAGTAGTAGAATTATTTGACGACCTCTGTAGCCCAGTTTGTACGCTGGGTTTTATGGTGTCGCCGACTCGAGAAGTCCCGGGTTCGAATCCCGGTGGGGGCAGATGTTTGGGTGATGAATACAACCATTTGTACTCCAGTTATGGATGTTTTATATGTATTTATATTTAAATATACTTATTTATGTACAGTCTATGTATTCTATCCGTTACCCTAGTATCCCAAAACGCAAGCATTATAGTGCTTACTTTGGGGCTAGGCTAATTGGTGTGAGTGTAGGAAATATTATTATTATAACTTATTTGAAATAAAGTTGTATAGCTGAACATAATGATGATGAACGTTGCTTTGTTTCCAATTTCGTGTGCTGTTTGTCTTTTCGATTAAAGGTAAATTTTGTTCAACTATTTTGTTTGGCAGTCGTCCTGCAGAGCCACAGGTGATCATGACTGAGGAACAGCTGGTACAAAACGGGACAGCAGCTGTGCGGTGGCTCAACCAGAAGCATGACTTTGTTGTACGAAAACTGCAACTCAATTATGGTAAGCTGAATTGTAATTTTTTGTTCTAAGAAAATGACAGACTGATTGATTATAGACTGTGAATTTGAGTTACCTGAGAAAATGTACTAGCGATTCAGATAACGATTTAGGTTATACATGCGCAAAAAATACTTGATATTTTCGTAATATTTGACAATATCAAGAATAAAATACCAATTATTGGCATGCGTATTTAACAAGGATATATAGAGCAATTTCACTATTTTGACAAAAAAGAGTAGTTGATAATGTTACTAAAAATCATGTAATAGAAAAGTAGATTTTTATCTACATATTGCTATGTGACCGAGAACGCCTAGGATTAGCGGAGACTAAAATGAAGTCGTTTGCTTGTCCGTAATATCCTGACAAAGTGACATTACTATGTGGTGTTCGACGTTTTAATGAGAGCCGTGTGACGTCACCTGCCTGTAAGACGCCATATTTGTTAGAGAAACATTTCCGTGGCATATTTGAAATATTTTTTTTGTTTTCGGTCTTTTACTGATACCTTTCTTTTACTAACAGAAATATAAATAGGTATCCAGTTTTTAAAGATTCACGAATAACGTATGAAATTAAAAAAAAACTTGTCCTATAGCCTATTGTATTGTAAATCGGGCCAATGACCCAAGAACAGCCTGTACTAGTTTGTTTCCATATTTTTTTCTTTTCGAGACAGTGACACAAAACAGCTTGTACAAGCTCATTTCCATTAATTTTTGCTCTCTCTACATTCTTTTAAATTTCGATTTAAAGTTTTCGTTTGTTTGTTGTTTGCGCTACAGATGCGGGTGTTAAACTGCTGCACTCTCCTTCTGGCTGCATTCAGTGCGTTTACCTCACCACTCCCAGTATGCAGCTGGCATTCAATGCGGTCCCACAGTTCCTGTGTATAGAGACAGGTAATGGATAATGAAATGTTTTTTGATGTGTAACATCTTTCCTCTCGCTTTCCTGCAATTTGTGGGAGTGATTTCGTGAAATGGGACGGAAGCGTGTAACAGGAAGTCGCGAAAGCATTTTTCGCGTTATTTTTTACTAATATAAGGTGAGGTTTCAAATGTTAGACATCATACACGACTACAGTAAAATAAAATAAAAATAGCCTTTATTCTCTGATATAGTTATACATACTACTTACTAACTAGCCGTATTACTAAATTCCTATTGCTACAATTTTATTTAATTTTACATTGCTTACACTAATAAAAGAAAATTGGTAACACCAGCACTATTTTAATCAGGTGAGGTGTCTAATATAAGGTGAGGTTTCAAATGTTAGACATCATACGCGACTACAGTAATGCTCTTTTTATATTTTTGACGTGACAACGTCTTATAATTCAATGGAGCCGACTGCACGCACGAAAAAACATGACTCATGTGGCGTTACCTCGCTCTGAGGCGTTCCATTTAAGGCTTGAAGTGCAAGCGAGAGCGCGCAACGAGCGACAAAGAGGCACAATCGACCTCCGCGTTCGGCAGAGTTCGACATTTGTCTCTCTCCTATTTGAGTGAGCGATGCGTCCGCGTGGACAGCTACTATACAATAATACATTTACGTATTTTCGTCAAGTATAAAGTGCAGTGAAAAGTGCACATTCATACTTGTAAAAACTATGCACATTGTAAAAAAAACGTTGTCACGTTCAACTATCGGCAGTAAACCGACTTTACAGTCAACCGATTTTTTTTAAATGGGTTCAGTGCGACAAAGATCTTTATAAGTCCGCCGCTGTTGCGCTTAGCGTACGGATGTGTATTGTGTGTTACTGGATGCAGTGCCTAATTTTATCAGTCTAAATACGAGATACGAACACAAACAAAAGATGGTGCAATGTAAGAAGTGTAAACTCTTCGTCTCCATGACAAAGGATGACATAGTACGGTGTAAAGGACCCTGTGAAGCAGTACTGCATAAAAAATGTGCTAACAACTATAGGCTATTTACGCAGACAGGAATGTGTGAGGATTGCCAAAAAAAGGATTCCACTGGAAATACCTCAGGTACTAAACATCAAGCGAAAATAGATATCGATCCAAGCGAGTTGTCGGTTGAGACTTTGTTGCAACAAGTAAATAAAAAGTTAGATATTATATACAAAATTGAAAAACGGTTTGAAGATCTTCAAGATACGGTAGAATTCTATGCAGAGCAGTATCAAATGATGATAGATTTTAAAGAAACCACGGAGAAGAAATTTAAAGCATTGGAGCAAAAAAATGTTTTCTTGGAAAAGCAAAATCAGGCCTTAGAAGAAATAATATTGTAGTTAGAACAAAAGGAGAAGGACAAAAATGTGGAAATAGTAGGATTAGAAAAAGAAAAAGATGATAAAATAGTGGATATAGTAAAAAAATTATCTATAACATTGAATTTGGAAGCTGAAGACATAACTGATGCAAAAAGGGTAGGTAAAGAAAAAGAAATAAACGGTAAAACTATGCAACCCATAGTAATTACGTGCAGAAACAAATTAACACGAGATAAATGGATAGATGCAAGAAAAACAGTAATAACGAATGACCAAATATACAATAATAAAAGTGAAAATAAAATATTTATTAACGAGGACCTACCTAAATATAAGCGTCAGCTGTTTTGGAATGCCAAAAACGAATTGAAAAATAAATATAAATACATTTGGATACAAAACTCCAATATACTTGCAAGAAAATTTGATGAAAAGAAAATATATAAAATCAAAAGCGAAAAAGATGTAGAAATACTAAAAACTAAGTAGCTCAACTTTTCTAAAATACTTTGGCCTATCAACTTAAGTACCTATATAATTAAAATTCGATGACAGCAATTGTTATATCGAATATGCAAGATATATGGATATAAACAAGTTCAATTATTCATTGCAAAAAAAATGACAATGGTTTTAATGTATTCCATCTGAATATTAGGTCACTAAAAAAGCATTATAATGAACTACTGATTCTACTAAATAACATGATGAAGTGTTTACATATTATTGTTTTGACAGAAATAAACATTAAACAGGAAGATGTCGATTTGTACCCGATACCAGGGTTTGATAGCAAGTTTGCTTATACAAGGGAAAGTCAAAGAGGAGGCGGAGTCATAATTTATGCAAGGGGAAGATTAAACATAGAATTTAAAAAGATAAAATTTACAGTAGCAGAGTGTATATCCGGAAAAATATTATTACCAAATAGTCATAATAGCATAAATATTATAGCCGTATACAGACCGCCGAGAAAAAGTAAAGAAAACTTCATACAGCAGCTGAGCGTATTGATACAGAGTATACCTATGACAGAAGATCTTAAAGTAATTGGCGATATAAACATCGATATGTATAAACATCGAAGCAATTCTATAACGGACTTATACAAAACAACATTGACAGGGTTGGGCTTGCAGTGTGCGATACCTAGCACTGAGATAACGAGAGAGGAAATCGTTGACGGGCGGTTAGTGGCATCGTGCATCGACCACGTCTGGGTGCGAAGGAGACAGCCACAACCGAACTCCAACGACGCAACACTGGCTGCCGAGGATGCGGCTTACGTACTTGAGTGTAACATATCGGATCATTACGCCACAGGTATTTCCTTTAGTATTTCTCAGTGGCAACAATCGCAAAGTAGTGTTTATATGCATAAGAATGTTCTTAATGAAAATATGGTGTCGCATAAATTGAGTGCGTATGAATGGTCAAAGTTGTTACTGATTTCATGTCCTCTTATTTTATATCAAAATATATGCCTTGTGTTTAACAGTATTTACGAAGAATGTAGTAAGGAAATCATAATTAAACGGAAAAGAGTAACGCAACCATGGGTAACTAAAGAATTATATTATATGCTTGTTAAACGAGATACCCTATTCCGAACGTGGAAAGGGTCTCCTAATAGTATGAATAAAAGAGTACAATATACAAAATATCGAAATAAAGTAAATAAAGCGATAAATACGGCCAAGAATAGTTATAGGCAAAATGAAATAAAGAAATGTAATGGTGATCATAGAAAAATATGGTTAAATATAAATAATTGGCTGGGGAGAGCAAAACCAAATGTAGATAGTGTTATATTAAAATATTTAGGGAAGAATAGTGATTTATTAAATGTATGTAATGGCTTTACTAGAACATTTACCAAAGAAATTCAGGAAATAAAGCATGTGTGTAATATAAAATTATTAAATAGAAAATCGTACGTAACAGCCAGTAATATATCGTCTAGATTTGTTAAAGCTACCCAGAAGGAAGTGTCAAAAATTATTTGTAATATTTCAAGTGAAAAATCACCAGGTATAGATAAAATTAGAATGAAAGACTTAAAATATATTAAAGAAAAAATCAGACCCGTATTAGCTCATTTTATAAATATTAGTATGGCAAAAAGTATTTATCCAAATCAATTAAAAAGTGCTATAATAAGACCTATTTACAAAAGTGGAAGTCATTATGAGTTTACAAATTATCGTCCAATAGCAATATTATCGGCTATAAATAAAATTGTTGAGAAGGTGATAGTTGGGAAAGTATGTGCATTTTTAGAAAATAACAGTTTGTTGGCGAATGAGCAGCACGGATTCAGACGCGCGCGTAGTACGAAAACAGCCTTAAGTAACTTTGCTGAAATAATTAACGATAGCCTCAACAATGGAAAACAAGTGATAGCGCTGTTCATTGATTATAAAAAAGCTTTTGACACCCTGGATCATGACATTCTTCTCCAGGCCATGGAGGAGTGTGGAGTTAGTGGTCCTACTAACCAGTGGTTCAAAAATTACCTAACTAAAAGGACTATGCGAACAATGATTAACGGAATCACTGGAGAGGAGTCCAAGGTCACCTTGGGTGTACCAACCGGTTCAGTTTTTGGACCGGTTGGGTACGTGATGTTGGTGAACAGTGTTGTTAATGTCATAAAACTATGTAATGTATTAATGTATGCTGATGACATGTGCCTATTATATGCTTCAGAAAATATAAACCAAGCTCGAAATGCAATTCAGGAAGATTTCGATAATATAGTTAAGTGGGCGCATGACAACGGCATTATTATAAACATAAATAAAACGAAAGCGATGCACATATGTTCCTCTTTCGCCAGAAGGTCTAATCGTATAAATTACAATAATATAGGAATCGTGGGACATACATATGACTGCTTGCACAATAGCACAAATAGCTGTGAATGTAAACCTTTAGAATATGTTGTCAATTATAAGTATCTAGGGTTGTTAATAGATAAACATTTTCATTTCAAAATGTATATAGATACATTATGTGGGAAAATAAGATCTGTTTTAAGTAGATTTTATCTACTGCAATATGCAGTAAACAGGCAAACACTTCGTGTTGTATATTATGCCTTAGTGGATTCGTTGCTGAGCTATGCTATGGTTGTATATGGTCGTACCTATAAGAGCTACATAAGAGGTCTATATGATTTACAGACAAGATTAGTAAAGTATCTAGTTAGTAAAAATGATAAACATAATTGTAAAGGAAACTATAGAATGTTGTATTCAGTGACAAAAATACTACCGATAGATTTAAAAATCAAATATCAATTAGCTGTAGATTTTTATTATGATGACAGGTTTAAAATCCCTGTTGCAAATAAGTATAACACCAGAGGTGTCAGAGGGGGTAAATTAATAATCCAAAGATATATAAAAACTGCTATGGTAAAAGATTAAATAGATACTTGGTTATGTACAACGAAATGGCGTGGCTTAGAAAAGAACCTAAGTTTACAAAAAAATCTTTAAAATCTAATATAAAAAATGTGTTACTAAAAACTATATAAAATATTGTTGCGGTGATGTGGAATGGTGTGATATATATAATGTCTGGTTCACTGTCGTATTGCTGCTGTTGTGTATATGTTTTGTTTGTATTATTATTTAGATTGTAGTGCACTTGTAAAGTAATTAGTTTTAGCGCAGTTACTTGCCAACAAACTGTTCTCAGTTTGGCAAGATTTAATGTTTTGTTATCAAGTGTACCCAAAGTAAATACAATAAATCAAAAAAAAAAAAAAAAAAAATGTGAGTGACAGCTCCAGGGAGAGGGCCACTGTCTACGTTAATGTCTATGGAGGTTAGAGAAAAGGAGAACGATGGCTGTAGGAAATAGTGTCCCAGAAATATGGACAAAATAAGTGAGGCGCTGCGATCGCTAAGTTGTCTCAATAAAAGCGGGCTGTTGTGCGCTAATTTGAAATGACCAATGCCGCGAAGAAAATTTGTACATTATTCAACTAACTTCATCTACTTGTACTCATAAACAGCTAACTTCACAGATACTGCTTACCGACGGCAGCGCGGTTGGTGGCTGAAAAATTAACTACAAATTTTCAGGGACAGGCGGGCTAATGCTTTAGTACTTAGCGATCGTTCTCCTTCTCCCTAACCTCCATGTTAATGACCGTAAATGACATACAAGATTGACGTTCACAAAGAAAAGTTGCGTTAGTTCCAATTTTCGCCACCTTAATAAAGATCTTTATTGCACTATAGAACCCATCTGGCCTATCGACCCGTCAATTTTGTTTTTTACCGCTACCGTTAACCACTACCCCGTAGTATCTCGTTACCTAGTTATTTACATTCGTACAGCCATACTCATTTCGATCGTTTTTTTTAATGTGTATGCTGTTGGTCGCCGATGACCTGTACAGCGTCACCGGGTTTGGGGACGGCGAGATCCTAAGAGGACCTCAAGCCGAGAATTGGCGAGTTCCTCTAGAGGTATTCCAGGCGGATGACAGCTCTCACGGGGGTAGTCTCCTCTCCGTCTGGAGCCTCTAGACCACGCGAACCTGAGGGGGTCGGCTCAACTAGAGTACGTCTCTGAGACTCGAGGGGTACAGTGCGACAAAGATCTTTATAAATGTGACTGACAGTTCCAGGGAGTTCCCGCCACTGTCTACGTTAATTACCGTAAATGACATACAAGATTGACGTTTACAAAGAAGTTTGCGTTAGTTCCAATTTTCGCTACCTTCATAAAGATCTTTATCGCACTATAGAACTCTTCTTGCCTATAGATTCGCCGTCAATTTTCTTTTTGTAATCGCTACCCCGAAGTGTCACGATACCTAGTTATTTAGAGGTAAAGATCGACATTCGTAGTCCTAGTCATGTCGATCGTATGACTCGTATGTCGACCATTACCTCAAAATATCTCAGCAACGTGACATTTTGTGGTAACATGCTTGTACGAGACGACCGCCTTACGATCGAAACAACAAGATATAGAAGTGTATGCGACGACCGAAGCGAGAAGAAATAAAGTTTACATCGAAACAAGATTGATTTATGAAATATGTCTATAGATGCAATTTCACATGTAACTGTTTTGTACGATCATTAAAAATGTTATTTCCTTGTTGTTTTATTAGAATGAGTCGGATATCGCAATAATAGAGAGCTTCGCACATAGTAACTGATTGTATAATTGATAGTTCAAAGCGATATTCTGTCTCTTTCTAACCCATAATCTTATAAGAATTTGCCTAATCGATCGCCACGACACCAAGCGGTGGCGCTGAGAAACTGTGTTAGAATCTGATAGTTCGGACCGATAGGAGGGACAGAGACGATAGGCTGTCTCTTTCTAGCATTCTTATAAGATTTTACCTAAGTTGTTAGCTCTCGGAATTTGTATGTTTTTATGTTTGAATTTGTATGTTCTATATTTTATTAGATAAAAGGTAGCTATAGGATTAAAACAACAAAGTTTTGTGTAGATTACTTTAATAGTTTAGGCGTAATTAAGGGAAACGTTAAATATAGTTTTTTATGAATATTTGGTAGGTTATAGGTATAATTTTAATAATAAAGCTTTTATTTTGTGTATTTTCACTTGCCCTATAGAATGATGTATGATAGTTAGGCATTAAATGAATGTAAGTAGGTTTTTTAAGACCTATAAATTTGTAAACTTTATAGGGCTCTAGAGCCGTTGTTTGTTATTATTTTTGTTAGAAACTTATTGTATTACATAGATAACGCATAGGACTACATAAATAAATAGGCATCAAATCGATAAAGATAGAAATGTACCGAATATAAGGCAAAATTAGTTTGTATAGAACGATCTCCTAAAACGGTTCGCGCTCCCCAATCGTCGCGCGCGGAGCGCGTGGGTGGGGCAGCGGAGCCCTGTGGCAGGGCGAAGCGCCTATGGAGGGGGAAAATATAAATATCACGGAGATCTATTTTTTGCGCGCCACCTAAAATATCATGTTTACGGACGCGCAACTGCGCTAAAAATATGCCTATTTGTATGCCTAATGTATGTACGTATAGTTTTAAGCTCGCACCTATGTATTTTTTGAATAAATGAAAAATAAAGTATAGCGGGGGTGAGGTAATGGGTCGCTGGCCAGCTCAGTCCTAGCATATAAAATTCGAGTCGGAACAGGCTCCGACATGCATTCAGCGACAGGCGCTCTGACCCTAAGGAACAGGAAGAAACAAGCGGTTCACTCTGGACCTGAAGCCTCCTCTCACCGGCCATCCATTATCAGCGCCCACCGATTTCCTCAATACCGAACACCAGGAGTTTTATTCACCATAACTACAGTCCACTATCGCCGTCAAGACTCCTGCGTGTAACTTCCTCCACCCCGAAGTACAAGTCGGTAACTGTCAGCTATTGCGACAGCCCGGCGTCCCATACAATGCTACATGCCTCTTTATGTTCGTCTATGTCGAAATCGCGGCACATTTTCAAATTCGTATGTACGGGATAGGAATTTGAAAATGCGCCGCGATTTCGAAAAAAAGGTGACGAATGTAGATAGTCTAGCTTATTTGTTTCTTAGGTTTTCACGCACATCACTCATTATATAAAACTAGTTTTTACGGGTTAATGCACGAAACTTTATTTATTTATTGACGTTTCTAGCTTCCCTATCACCCGTACAGGACATTTTTAACTGGAGATAAAGCTTAAAAAAAAATTTTTTGTTTAAATAAATTTTATTTCATCCCTTTTAGTGAAAATTACATCGTCCAAGTAAACAATAAACAAAAATGCAAATTAAATAAAAACTACTGCATAAAACAAAATATTTTTTTTTTATGGAACCAAATGGCAAGTGTCTCCAATTGAACAAAAGAAGAATCACTCAAATTGGACCGGAAATGTTTAAGAAATCGGTGTACATATAAACAAAGTATCGTGAAAATTACATCCTCCAAGTAATAATATTTGTTATAAGAAGGTTTCCCTCGATTTTGCAGTATTCCACCATCTGATCCTGAATTGGTCTCAATGAGACTGCCACGGAAGTGCATTCTTTCGAATAAAAAAATAATTTATGAAATTGGTCCACAATTGATGAGGAATCGTGGACGCTGTGGAATGAGGTGAACATGCATAAAAAAACACTGTGCGTGCCTTTGAAATTTGAAGGCTTCCCGTGCTTTCCCTGGATTCCACCATCAGATCCTGACTTGGTTCCAATGAGACCACCTCGGAAGTGCACTCTTTCAAATAAAAAAAGATTTTTTTGGAAATCGGTCCACAATTGACGGAGAAATCGGTGAACATACATAAAAATACTAGCTGACCCAGCGAACTTCGTACCGCCCTAAAAAAATAGGGGTTGTCCAGCGGACAAAATTGTGAATCTAAACCATTCTCAGATCCCCTTGAACACACACAAAAAATTTCATCAAAATCGGTCCAGTCGTTTAAGAGAAGTTCAGTGACATACACACTCACAGAAGAATTATATATATAACTAGCGGCCCGCCCTCGCTTCGCTTCGGTGTAGAGCTGAAGTGTAGACTACAGTTTTTGTTCTCAGGCTTGTATTATACACAATGACATTCATCTATGATTCTTCTTATACCTGCATGCAAAGTCTCAGCCCGATCGGTTTAAAATTGATAAAGTTTCATACAAACTTTCATTCCTTATTTTATCCCCTTGGGATTTTCTTTATATTTTTTTCCACAAGAACCTTGTACAGAGTATTAGAAAACTACAAAAAAAAAACAGCCAAATCGGTCAAGCCGTTTTCATGTTATGTCGTGACAACGGAAAACGGGTTTCATTTTTATATATATAGAAGATATATACAGTAGAACACAGAACCCCTTCCTTTTTTTGAAGTCGGTTAAAAATGGGTAATTACAAATAAAACGGGCGAACTTGACACAATCACAAACAACTATATCTTATTTTTAAAGAAATTTACAGAACTATATAAAGTATATTCAAAAAGTTTCTATCAAAATACAGTAAATCGTTCACAACAAACTGTATTTATTCTTTGCTATTTATGCCTTGTACTGGTTGTGTGCTTTCTATCATGTGTATGTTATTATAATTATTACCCTGATAATTATCTAGTACAACCCTGGTCGTGGCTATCCGATATTCCAAATTCTCTGCGTTAGTAGAGTAATGTCAACGTTATTCCCATAGGCATAGAGTTCAACAGTCCGATTCCGACGGTGGCCGGTCCCAGCGTCAAACACAACGTCACCCTCTTCTTGGCCGAGGACGGCAACGGAAAGTCTGTCATCGTAAGTGCTGGTAAGTTTATGTGTGATCTACAATCGATACCGAAGCCAAAAACATAGTGTTTAGATTTTTTTCACTGACTTATTGAATGAAGAGGAGCTCGATAGCACAACTGATTATCGCGTTCGGCTGCGATCGTTGAAGTCAAGCAACTTTCGCAGTGGTCGGTCATTGGATGGGTGACCAAAACGTACTATCTCGAGCTCCTCCGTGCTTCGGAAGGCACGCTTAGCCGTTGGTCCCGGCTGCATCTGCAGTCACCCACCATTCCGCATTGGGCTCGCGTGGTGAGTCATGGCTCAATCTCCCTATTCAATCCATAGGGAAGGCCTGAGCCCCATCAGTGGGGACATTAATAGGATGATGATGACTTATTGAATTGTTTAATTTTCACGTGTGCTTGTAAAAGCCTAAATTGAGTAAATGACTTTTAGAATAGAATAGAATACAATAATCTTTATTTGCATTAAATAGGGTTGACAATAGGTGTTTACATATAAAGTATAAGTTAAAAGCTAAGAATCTCAAACCTATTTAGCCATATTAATAGCATGCGAAAAATTCTAACATATTAAAACAAAACAGTCATATTACATTGATCTATCGTATTTATATATATTGTTTGAATTTAATTGACTTGAATTTGTGTCAGGCATATCGACGCTGATCGGTGAAGATCTAACTTGGCTTCTGGACACATTCAAGTCTTGCAACCCGGCGTGGAGGCAGGTGCGGTGCGTGGTTTGCGATCCTACCAAGTGTCAACAGGTGAGGCTTTGATTGTTCATATTTTATTTTATATAAGCTATTTGACAGTATGAAAAAGAATGTACTTAATTTATGAATATTAGCAGAGTTTTACTATTTTGAGAGAACAAATAACAATTAATAACTTATCTAAAAACATTTAAATAAATATCTTTTTTTCTCCATGGTCACATGACCGAAAATTCTAGGGATTGGCAAAGACTAAAATGACGTCACATGCTAGTATACTTCCGGCCTAAGTGACACTAAATTGTATAGTTTGAAGTTTTGATGACAGTCCTGTGACGTTACACACTAGTGAGACACCATAATTTCCAGAGTAACGATTTTGCGGCAACTTGAAAATAACAGAATTAAAAATATCCACTTTTTATGAACTCCATAAACATTTATAAATAAATTGAGATCGTTTTCTAAAACTTGTCAAATACCCTATTAAAGGGGTATAATCTATACGAGCTGACGCCCATAGACACCTTTTTTTTTAATTTATTCTGGCTTTGGATACTCAGTCCTATAGCCGAAATCATTTATACAACTATAACATGAATATAACAAAACAAAAATAGGTGTACACGTTTTCGCGGCAACTTGAAAATTGAATTTTCGATTTAGTTTATTTTATGAAATTCTCAACAGTGATAAATATCCATGCTTTTTATGGACTTCGTAAACAATGGTGTCGATTCCGGCGTGATTATCTAAACTTAAAACTAAATTTTACATCAGTCTCTCATTTTCATTCTGTATAGAGAATGGCAAGGATACATGTTGTCAAATTTAAGTTTAGATTTAGAGAATCGTCCCAGAATCGACACCATTATTTGATAACGTGAAATCCTTTTTATAAACTTGTCAATTACTATAAGTGTGAGGGAGTGTCTGTTTGTAATATTGAAATTGCAATTCATATGCATGTAGTAAACCGCTTTTTACTACATGCATATGAATATAATATAATATACGGTACATACACACCAAAATAACATATTTTACAATTTTTGTCTGTCTGTTTGTTCCGGCTAATCTCTTAAATGGCTGGACCGATTTTGACGGTACTTTTATTGACAGGTAGCTGATGTAATAAGGAGTAACTTGGGCTACTTTTATTTTAGAAAAAAAACTAAACGTAAACGCGGACCAAGTCGCAGGCGGCCGTTAGCAATATGTAAATATGTAACACAAATTAAAATATTGCTTTCAGACCGTCCGCGCCGCTTTCCCCACCGCCCACGTGACCTGCTCCGTATGGCAAGCGTCACGAGCGGCCGCCCGGCTGTGTTCCGACATCGCTCGCCGGGAAGCGAGCATTCTGAGCGCCGACGACGCCGCCACCAGGTGCAAGACATACGCGCTCGCGGCGCTGCGGGGCGAGCACACTGCGGCACAATTACAGGTAATTATGGGATAGTTCTAGTTCCCCAATATTTTCTATCAGAATCTATGTTGTATGTACTATTTTTTTGAGTTCTTGCTCCCTGTCCATAACCGCCCTCGGTACATAACCCCCGATCCCGGTCCATAACCCCACGCTCCCGGTCCATAACGAAGCATATGGCAACTTACGATTTGCGGAGTGGGGTTGATGGTCCAGGAACGGAGGTTATGGACCGGGAGCGGGGGTTATGAGCGTTCTGATCGCCGACGACGCCGCTACTAGGTGCAAGACATACGCGCTCGCGGCGTTGCGGGGCGAGCATACTGCGGCACAATTACAGGTAATCACACTAATATTATAAAGGCGAAAGTTTGTGAGTGTGTATGTTTGTTACTTCTTCACGTCTAAACGGCCGGAGCGTTTTTTAATAAAATTTGGTATGGAGTTAACTGATACCCTGGATTAACACATAGGCTACGTTGTACTGCGGAAAAATATCTCAAAACAGCGGGTGACATCGCGGCGCACAGGTAGTTATAGGGTAGTTCTAGTTCCAATATTTACTATAAGAATGTATGACAGGCCAATTTATTGAGTTTTTGATCAGGCAACTTACGATTTGCTTCGTTATGGACCGGAAGCGGGGGTTGTGGACAGGGGGCGAGGGCTATGGACCGGGGGTGGAAATGTATCGGGAGCGGGGATTATGGACCGGGAGTGGGGTTTATGGACCCGGAGCGGGTTTTATGGACCGGAAGCGGGGTTATGCGCATTGTGAGTGCCGACGACGCCGCCACTAGTTGCAAGACGTATGCGCTCGCGGCGCTGCCGGCTCACACTGCGGCACAATTTCAGGTACTTACGACGAATTAAGACGAGTCGAATCGCTTTCAAAAAGAGACGTGAAACAGTACAATTTTTTTGAAAATTTGTTCAGTCGGTTGAAATCGCATACGATTCCGCAGTTGATCAACTAAAGTCGCCTCGTGGGAACCCTGTATTATAGGATAGTTCCAGTTTCTAGTGTTGCAAGCGACTTTAGGCCGCTCTGCATTCTCATCCCTTTTTTTTCAGTAAATTTTCTTTAGATTTAAACTCATTATTTTCCTAATTGGCAGGTTTTGAAGCGAGGTATAATAGGCACGGGAGCTGGAACTCTCCGTCTATGGGATGTGTTGACTCGGCCCAACGGGGCCATAGCCAAAATGGACTCCTGGCTAGAGGCTGACAACTACACCAATATACTGCACAAGGTAATTTAACTATTTAGCAACTTTTTTTTAAATTATTTATCTATTTTTTTAAGATTTAGTTCGCGTAATCCCACCCATAGGGTATTTTGTATGCATTTTTATAAAAACAACACATCCTTTTATAATTCAATCACTAATATGTGTCGTCAATACGATAACCTGAATAGGGATTATTCTTTGTAGACTTTGTGGACATTTTTTGTAGCCGGCTTCTTGAATTTCGGAAAAAAATCCAAAGATCATTAAAAAAAAGAATCAGTTAATATGTACTTTTGTTGAAATGTTTTTTTTGTTGTGTTTGATTGTTGAAATTCGATTTTAAATATTTTTCTTTTCTGTAAACTTCAGCCCATAAAATTTTATCATGTTATGCCCACATATTTAGAGTTACAGTTTGGTTTTATATTATTGTAATTGCTTTGTTTTTTAATATTTAATTGAAACGTGCTTTGTGTGCTAATAAATAAAAAAAAATCTCACCCTAGGCCCCGCTACCCCAAAGCGCCTGGTGTCAGCGGGATTACATGACAAACAAAATTCGCTAACATCCATTTACATAATTTTTTCCCTCTTTCGGGCTAAGGAACCCTACCTGGCCTACATCAAAATGTTTTTGATGAGGTCGTCGCCTGGCCCAGTACCACATGCGGGGTAACAGGTCGGCCTGAAGTAGGGTTACCATCCGTTCGAATTAGTCCGGACATGTCAGGATTTTTGTCAAGACTTGTGGAGCTCACGTCACAACCACCCTCACCACAACAGGTGTATCCGCCCCTCCAACGAAGCCTCGACCGCCGTTACCCAGGATGCTCAGGACGCCAGCTGAGACACACCAGGGTGATTTTTAGAGAGGTTTTCTTCCTCTTAGCTCCCACTTTCCGAAGAAGGCGGCGGCTCATGGCCCAGCACTGTATACGGGGATACGAGCCCCTTCAGGGCAGCGAACTGCCCCCCACCCTTGGGGCAACTTGGTAGCCTACTTTCTAGGTGATTTTTGAGAGAGGTTTTCTTCTTCGCAGCTCTCACCTTCCGAAGAAGGCGGCGGCCCTCAGCTCCGCACTATGTACGGGGTTATAAGCTCTTTCAGGGCAGCGAACTGCCCCCCACCCTTAGACCACTTTTTGGCCCTCCTTCTGGGTGATTTTAGAGAGGTTTTCTTCTTCGCGGCTCCCTGCCCTCCGAAGAAGACGGCGACCGTCGACCCCACGCTACGTACGGGTTTAGGAGATTTGGCTGGTGTTGGTCCACGCCTTCCGAAGGCGGTACTCCCATCCGTCAATCGGAAGACGTCCAGCCCAACTGCACACGGGAGACTGTTGATAGCCTAACGGTGACTCTAACTTGTGAAATATTGACGCATTTGTGCAGTGGGCTGTCCACGGAACTCTTAACATTCTTCTTCCAGCACCACAATTTAATATGTTTTTTAATTCTTCCATAGGGTCTGGAGAGGCTAGTGACGAAGTTCCAGAGTTTAGTGCGGTCACAGATGCAGCCCGACGAGTTCGTGTCGCTGTTCTTCAATGTAGCCAATCAGTTAGAGGACGAAAGAAGGAATTTCGCCATAAGCAGGCTCAGGGTAAGCAAACAGTTCTCTTAGCGCGAACCAATATCGAATTCGAATAGTTTGCAAGTCCGAAATAGCATTGTCAAATGTGTATCTTTAGTTCTCGTTACGTACTTTGTGGCGCTGCTGTTCAGGTTTCCATACAAAATTTGATAATGACATTTCGTGCTCGCAAACTATTCGAATTCGATATTGGATCGTGCTAAAGGTACTGTAAAATGGGCGTCCAAATGAAAGACAATTCGATTAAGTATCTGAGATGTTTACTGCGTGGAAGGCAATAAAAAGTTTTTCTCCATATAATCATGATATATTGTCGGCAACGCCATCTAGTTTTTAAGTGTCGAAACCTAAACACATACGCCCTTATTAATAAACGAAGACTTAGCTTGGATTGGTTACTCAATGTTTGCTTGTTGGGTTTCCAAAATGGATCCGGCTTGAAGGACCAAAATGTCGATGATGAAAGTGATGATGATAATGTTGAAGCTGATGAAGATCTTTGGTCCTCGGTGTGGACTGTTTGCTGCTTCCTTTATTATTCTGGCTAGTTGTTCACACGATGATTGTTCCTGGCTGACTACAATTTGCCTTACAAATGTTTCGTCTTAAATAATAATTTGGCCCCGGCCGTCCGGAGCCATCGACCAATGACAGCGCCCACTTTAATACGCATATCCCACGTGTCCTCTTTTAAAGTGTGCCATCTGATTGGCGGTTCATCACGCGACCATTTCTCCGTCGCATGATGCCCCGACACTTAAAGTAGGCCTTATGATTGGTCGGCACGTTATTTCTTGGCTCGGTGCACGGCTGTCGTCAACATTGCCTCTGTTCATTTAATGACAAATGGCATTTGAGTGATGTGAACAAGACACGGCGCAACTAGTCTAACCTTATCCCCGTATCCGTTCGTATACGTGTAGGTTCAACTAGAGAAGTCACTGTAGGTAAAACTAGAGCGACTAGGTGCGCTGTGTTTAGTTCATGGCACTCAAATGCTATTTGTAATTCAATGATTCAATGAACAGAGACAAAACATAGAGTAACTAAGCCAATCTTATTCGCATAGAGGTATAATAATAGCGTAGGGGAGATAGATATACACTCTACTACAAGTGGAAGTGTCCCTCTAATAGAAAGAAGATGAGAGATCGCTAGCTTTCTCTCTCTAATCACGCATGCGCATTGGCAACCGTGAGCATCTTACTATTTCGATGTGATGCCATTGGATGGCATGCGTCAAAAGAGAATAAGGGAGTCAGGGAGTAAGACTTCCTCTATTTTACTCCAGGCTCTGTGATCCATTCTTTACCGGTCACAACCAGTAGGCCTATTTGCTAACTGCTTTTGACACGTGGAAGTGATAATCACGGACCTATTTAGCATGTCACTGCTTATTTATTATAACGCCACTAAGGTATTTGTTCTGAAAAGAATTGATGGCTATGCAATTTTCTCTTTAGTTACACACTGTCAAAAGCGTTTGCGAATAGGCCGGCAGAAAAGCCATAAGAGCCCTTTTACAAAATTTCGCCGCTGCCGTACTGATCGGTGCGTAGGTAGATTTGCACTAGTATAATTATATTGCATTTTACGGGTGATGTTTCGAGTGTTATAAAATAATTATTAATGAACTAATTATAAAAATATATACATATTTCAGTAGTTCAATGATGGTAGATTAGTTTTATGAAAGTTTTTGATAGTAATTCTATTTAATTAATATCAAAATACGAGGTAAACCTGCATTATTTTTTGGGAAAACTCACGGAGGTTAGATGTTTTTTTGATAACTAATGAGATGGAAAATCAAAATTCTAATACATAATGTTACAACAAAAACATATTTCTGATGTCGTAATAATTAATTTGATCTAATTTATTGAACATTATTGAGAGATTTAGGCGTTTGAAGTTGTGCATATTATCGTTTTTTCCGTAAACTAGTTGCGGTAGAACGATCAGTACAAAAAAAAAGAAAATAGTATTTGCAAATATTCTACATTAACTTACAATAAGAAGAATAAATGTACTGTTTACTTCTATTGCAAACTAGTGGCCCGCCCTTGCTTCGCTTCAGTGTAGAGCTGTAGTGTAGACTGAAATGACTTCATATAATTATAAAAAAAAAAACTGAAAATTGTATATTTGCCTTTTCCAAACTTTTATTGACATCACGTCACTTAATTGTTTTGCCTTCCCGGAACCTCTCCACTAACATTTTGAAATTTATGGTATGGTATTAAAGTTCAAATTGGCTTTTAAGTATTATTACGAATCGTTTGTATGGGAGTATAGAAAAGTTTTGATTTTGGACTTTTTAAGGCTTTTTTTTTGATTTTTCTCTGCTTAATATAATCTAAATATTCTAAAAAAAGAATTATCGAAATCTGTTCAGCTGTTCTCGAAATTTGCGCTTAGCAACACATTCAGCGATTCATTTTTATATTATAAATAGTCAAAATCTTATCTAAGGGGGTAAACGAGGCGCTCAAAAATTACGATTTATTTTGCAAAAAATGTGAAAGGTCTCTTAAAAATGGTTCACGATACACTGTCTTACCTCCTTCGTTTTTGTTCATAGGACACGGAGACATTAAAGCAATCTCCTACAGACACTATCACTCAGTACGCTTACAATCTGATGAGCCATCAGACGAAGCTGGCGCAGAAGTGTCTCGACGACCGAAATGGCGGGTACGTATGTCAGTTCCGACCACAGAACACAGAAAGAGGTTAGAAGGGCTTTATGGGCAGGGTATTCGGGCACAGTTATGTGTGAGCAAATGCTCATAGTTATAATTTTTATTTTTTAAAGCATGTAACTGCTTGATGTTTAAATCTAAAGAAAATATAACTAGAAAAAAACCAGCCAGCAGACGGGACTCGAACCCGCACCCTTCGCAATCCGGGCGAATGCACTGACTGCCTTGCAGCTTAAGAATGGCTAGAGGACTTTCGACGCAGTCCGTGAGGGCCGCGGTAGCATAATTGGTTAGTGCATTCGCCCGGATTGCGAAGGGTGCGGGTTCGAGTCCCGTCTGCTGGCTGGTTTTTTTCTAGTTATATTTTCTTTAAATGCTCATAACTTGACCATAACTTGGTTCTGATTTCGTCGTTGCTCTCGGGCGCTGATTAATAATAATAAATAATAATAATAAATATTTCCAACACTCACACCAATTAGCCTAGCCCCAAAGTAAGCACTATAAGGCTTGTGTTATGGGATACTAGGGTAACGGATAGAATACATATACTGTACATACATAAGTGTATTTATATAGAAATACATATTAAACATCCATGATAGGAGTACAAATGCTACTATTCATGTATGATTAGGTCGATTGTTCGACGTCGCGTCGTTTGATTCAATCAATTAACAATTTTAGGTATGCGGGGATATATTTTCTCTATAACTCGTTACTAGCGTTTGCCTTGTGACGAGTGCTTAAGAAGTAGCGAATTTCTCGTGTCGAATGAAAATTTGTAGAATGCTTTCGCTCGAAGGGACTTAATAATAAATAATTAATATCTACATCACTCACACCAATTAGCCTAGCCCCAAAGTAAGCACTGTAAGGCTTGTGTTATGGGATACCAGGGTAACGAATAGAATACACATATTGATATCGATTCTAGCGTGATTCTCTAAACCTAAACTTAAATTTGACAGCAGTATATCCTTGTCATTCTCTATACAGAATGAAAAGGAGAGACTGATGTTAAATTTAGTTTTAAGTTTAGAGAATCACGCCAGAATTGACACCATTGTACATATATATGGAAATACATATTATACATCCATGACTGGAGCACAATCGTATTCATCATACTAACATCTGCCCCCACCGGGATTCCAACCCGGGACCTCTCGAGTCGGCGACGCTATGAAACCCTGCGTACAAACCACTCGGCCACGGAGGTCGTCAAATAATGATATTTTTTTTCGCAGTAGGCAGATAAGCAGTGCCATATGCAAGTACGGCACTTCCACTCAGGAATGTTCGTGTCTCTTCAGCAAAGTGTTCCGGTTGCCGTGCAGACATATACTCATGCTGACCACAGAGCTCAAGGTTCGATTCCAGACAGTTGAATAATTTAATTTAGCATTATTAAATTAAAAATCCGCATTATTGCATTATCAAGCCGAAGTCAACAAGAAAACCATATGCTTACGAAATGTCTAAATTGTAAAAAAAAAACTGTTCGAAAGGAAAACTTTCGTGCTCCTTTTTGAGCACATTTCGCTCAAAGTGTTGGTATGTATGCATGCGGGCCTCTCGCTATCTGTACCTAATTATCGTATTCGTCACACTTCACTTTTTCATGTACCTAATATGGAAACAATTGTATCCTAACGCGCGTGTCACACTTATACAATTCAAAATTTAGAGGCGTAGATATATTTTTTGGATCAAAACAAATATTTAAAAATGATTTGAGGTTGACACTTTACCCCCTTTATTTATTGTTTATTTTATGCATATTTTTATTTCATTTTGGTTGATTGCAGATACATGAATGTTTATTAGACTTGTACCCAATTAGTGACTTTTCTCTGGTAAAATCAAGTTTTCATTCCTTTCGCCCGCTTGATTCATCACTTAGAATTGAAGACTATTTCATCAATGTTTTTTTCTTTATTTTTATGTTTTCTTTTTGGTAACTAAGGTCTACTTATGTTATTCCAGCTTTGTACATTTTTGCTGGCCTTTGGCTGTTTAATGTATCTTTATAAACAAAATAAAAACGTAAATAAATATATATTTCTCGCACTCACACCACTTAGTTACACTCACACCACTTGCTTACTAAGCAATGTAAGGCTTGTGTTATCGTATAAATAAATAAATAAATATTTCCTACACTCACACCAATTAGCCTAGCCCCAAAGTAAGCACTATAATGCTTGTGTTATGGGATACTAGGGTAACGGATATAATACATATACTGCACTTATATAAGTATATTTATATAGAAATACATATAAAACATCCATGACTGGAGTACAAATGGTTGTATTCATCACACAAACATCTGCCCCCACCGGGATTCGAACCCGGGACCTCTCGAGTCGGCGACACCATGAAACCCGGCATACAAACCACTCGGCCACGGAGTTCGTCAAATGGTATGCTAGGGTAAAGGATAGAATACGTATACTGATTATAAGTATACGTATTCTTTCCCTTAACCTAGAATACCATAACACAAAGAAGAAATATAGTTATAATTTTTTTTTGGATGGTCCGCGTGGAATGTAAACATCGAGCAGTTACATGTTTAAAAAAATAACAATAATAAATAGTAATATTGTTTGTATGTTCAGGTTAAAACGCACATACCATTCGAGCCTCGATGGACAGTGCAGCACTGTTTGTTCGGATGCGACAACAATACGCCCACCGCCACAGGCAATAATACAGGTAAGAGACCAAACTTTATACCAATTCATCATCATCATCAGCCTATTTATGTCCCCACTGCTGGGGCACAGGCCTTCCCTATGGATCGAATAGGGGAATTGGGTCATGGCTCAGCACAGTGCGGATTGCTGGGTGTTAACGACTGCAGATGCAGCCGGGACCAAGGGCTTAACGTGCCTTCTGAAGCACGGTGGAACTCAAGATAGAAGATTTTTTGGTCACCCATCCAATGACCGACCACTGCGAAAGTTGCTTAACTTCAACGATCGCAGCCGAACGCGCTAACCACTTGCGCCATCCAGCTCCTCTATTCCAATTATAAATAAGTATTTCCAACACTTACACCAATTAGCCTAGCCCCAAAGTAAGCACTGTAGGCTTGTGTTATTGGATGCTAGGGTAACGGATAGAATACATATTCTGATACATATATAAGTATATTTATATAGAAATACATATTAAACATCCATGACTGGAAAACAAATGCTCGTATGCATTCAAAAAACAACTGCCTCCACCGGGATTCGAAACCGAGATCGACACTAGGTAGACGACACTTTGAAACCTGCCGTAAAACCACTCGGCCAGTACTTATATTTTTTAAATCGTCTAATACTTGTTTACCTGACCTTCATCATCATCTACCAGCCTATCAATGTCCTCTGCTGGGGCACAGGCCTTCCGAGACTAAGCCGTGACCCACCACGCGGGCCCAGTGCGGATTGGTGGGTGCTAACGACTGCAAATGCAGCCGGGACCAACGGCTTTAACACCCCTTCCGAAGCACAAAGGAGATGGAGATAGTACATTTTTGGTCACCCATTCAATGACCGACCACCTGCGAAAGTGGCTTAACTATTCAACGATCGCAGCTGAACGCGCTAAACATTTTCGCCATCGTGTTCCTTCAATTTAAAATTAACCCGACCTTACCTTAAGAATATTATAAAATTCTGCATAGCATCTGGTAGGTTGGACGAAGAATTAATGAAAAAAAATTGTTTGCACGGAACACACATCTGAAGTGAAACTTCTTTTCCATCCATACCAAATTTTATTAAACTCGCTCCCGCCGTTTAGACGTGAAGAAGTAACAAACATACACACTTACAAACTTTCGCCTTTATAATATTAATGTGATTTAATGTTATTTTAGGCAGTGGAACTTTCATGGAACAAGTAGTAGTGGAATCTGCGGACGGACAGCATCGACAAACTATCCAGCAACCACAACAAATACACCAGGTAAAGGGAAATTTATTTTGTATCTAATTACACGAGGATTAAAATCGATATTTGCATGCAAATTGTAATATGCCACTAAATAACTAATTTGCGATACCATTTGATTCGACATCAGTACCCCTAGCACGAACCATTATACGAATTCAATATTGGTTCGTGCTAAGGGTACTGTACCCCTAGCACGAACCAATATCGAGTTCGTGCTAGGGGTACTGATGTCGCATCGAAATAACAAATTAAAACCCACAAGTGCAAATACAAAATAGTTTATTTCAGTGGCTTAGCATGCTACAATTTATTCTTGCCGGTTCTTCTCAGTACAAGGTCTCCCGCCGTAGATTTGCGAACCGATGGCGTAGCTGCTTTCAAGCAGTAAAATTCGCTTCTTAGGGCGTACTTTTTTGGATGACCCACACAACATATACTATGGGTGCGGTATCCTAAAATTATTAATTGGGGCTAAGTTTGATAGTTTTTGCTTCAGGTTGGGGGAGTGAGGCAACAACAATATGTTCTAGCGACGCCGGGACAGCCGGCCACGCCTGTATCACAAGTAAGTTGCATACTTTAGCCATCGAAGTCTGTTTTATATTGTAGAATACCAAGATACCCTTATGTTGTCGAAGTTCCTGCCATTCGCACGAAGCGATTTGCTTCCGCTTTCATTATGCGAACGGCTAGGGAGTGGAACTCCTTGCCGAGGTCTGTTTTCCCGGACCAATATAATCTGGCCATCTTCAAGGCCAGAGTGAAAAGGCATCTTCTGGGCAAGCATGTACCATCCTAGGCCTCATCATCGCTTTCCATTAGGCGAGATTGTGGTCAAGCGCATTGCTTTTTAAACATTAAAAAAAAAGTGGGTGCTAACGACTGCAGATGCAGCCGGGACCAACGGCTTAACGTGCCTTCCGAAGCACGGAGGAGCTCGAGATAGTAAATTTTTGGTCACCCATCCAATGACAGACCACTGCGAAAGTTGATTAACTTCAACGATCGCAGCCGAACGCGCTAACCACTTGCGCCATCGAGCTCCTCGATATGTAAACTAAAAAGCTAATTTTATTTTTTTAATATTTCATCCAACGTGGTGAACAAGACTGTATGTCGCCTTTGATCTTCTAAATGGTTGGGTTTTTTATCAATCATCTTTAACGGTAACAGTTAAGATGTTGAATAAAACATAATAAAATAGGGTTAAGTTGCTATTCAAAAGACTGACGATTTGGCCACGACCAAAAACCATAGTCGTTTGTTGAAAAATTTTTTGGCCGTACTAGACGTTCGGCTCTATATAACCTACATTGTGGAAGTACTTCTCAAGGTGCAAGGTTGTCCCCCTTTTATTAATCTGTAGCGCTAGAAAACTCATAATCCCCGCTTGGGCTCCCCTACTATAATTAATTTATACACATTTTTTTTTAATATGCAAAATATATAACTGTTATGTTATATCATACCCCTCTCGAGCCTATCCCTCGTAAATTAATATCTACAAATCCCTATCGCCATCGTTGAGCAGTATTTCTCCAAACCAATGCTAAATTTTATTATAAAATGTATGATGATCCGTTGAAAGCTAGGGATATTAAATACGATAGTTTATCTTTGACAAATCGTATATGTCCAAAACAGCAGATTTGCATATTAAAAAACACCGAAACTGCTGATTTCACACAAAATTCAATCTCTGATTGCGTTCCACCTCCCACGAATATTTTGAATTGACGGATCAAATATTCAAACCAAAGTTTAGGATCTGATTATAGATACTTTTTTAGCAATCCAAAGAATTAAAGTTCAATCTACCATTGGACTTTTCGGATTAAGATCGAATATAAGGATTAATCGTAAATCGCGAAAAAGGAATAGGGTATTAGAAAAGTTTTAGAAGACGATCTCACGTGGATATTCATCATTCTGTTGTGTATTTCAGTAAAAATAACCAAATCAAAAACTCCATTTTTAAGTTGCCGCCAAAACGCTTTTCTGGACAATATGGCGTCTTACTAGTGTGTGAAGTCACACGACTGTTATTAAAATGTCAAACGACACAATATAATGTCACTTTAACCAGAAGTTTACTTGCGTGTGACGCCATTTTAGGCTCCGCCAATCCCAAGCGTTTTGGGTCACGTGACAATAGATAAGAAAACTATTATCTTTTTCGTGGGTTTTTAGTAAAATTATGAATATTTTTTTGTAAAAATAGTTAAGTCCCCTGCCAATATTCATTCTAAACACAGATGCTAACAGTTGGCACTTTATTTTTAATACTGTCAAATACCCTATTGTTGAATAGACAATTGTCTTTTGTTAAAATAAGACAACCGTTATATGGCTCTCAAGTTGCTCTTCTCTTTGTCTCCAGAGGAAGAGAACGGCCAATAGTAAATATTCTTCTCGCATTAGTACGAGGGCCTCGAAACCTCGGTCTCGGGTTCGGGTACCGCGCGAACCCACCGCAGACGAGATATGGCAAGAAAACGGGGAAATATTAACCTTACTACATCTGTTAGATTGAAAATTAAGATTGAAGATACAGTGAAAATGTAACTATAAAATTTTATTAAAATCTGTGAATGTAGCAAGAAATCTGTGAAAAAACACCCTAAAGTTTGTAAAGATAAATCTGTAAATATGGTAATATTACTATTTTTGTGGTCGTGTTTTATATGAAATAGAATTTAAGTATAGACAAAATTACCGTGAAAAATATAGCATCCTTAGCTATGTAAACAAAAAACTGTAAATATAGCAATAAAATATAGCAATAGGTACCATAATGGTCAGTGCATTCAATAAAAAAACATAACAATAAAATATTAATTTGTTGTCCTGTTTTATATGACTTAACTAATTAAAATAAAATTACTAGGAAAAAATAGCATCCTAAAATTTCCTAAAATAAAATCAGTAAATATATAAATATTTAATTAAAATTTTTGATTTAATGACCTGTTTTACATTAAATAGAATTAAATATTAACAATTTATATAAATATCAATAATTTGATTATCGATTGAATCAAAAAACACAGAAATCGCCTTCAGCGCCACCTATCGGGTCCAGTTATGAATCTAAACTCTCAAAGGAAAAGTCATACTCGATTTCTTGTATAAAAAAAGGTATTCTTTTACAAATCAAAGGCGACCTACAGTAATGTTCAAAAGAGCTACCCTGTTTAAGAATTGTGCTTTATGCTGGCACTTCACATTGGAATTTGTATTCGCTTAATTTATGTCAGCCGTCTTTCCCTATCTCTCTATAGAGAGAGAGAGAGACATATCCTTGTCGCAGTATACAATGAATATAATATTGTTCTTAGGTAATATTTTGTGGAGGCGGCGTTGGATCTGTGGGTTCGGTAGGGGGAGCTGCGCCGGTCATTACCTCCGTACTACCCGCGGGGGGTGCCGTGCTGACACCACACCACGCGTTACATCACTAAACAAAAAAGCAGTCATCTCGACCAATAAACACGGAGGAAACAGTCAACTTGGCCAATAAACACTAACTATAGAAGTTAAAAGAAGAACTGAACTTGGCCACGAAATACTATGACAAAACTGTTACAAAGGGTACGCTGCGCCATTCATTACTTCGTACTAACCGCGCGGGTACCGTGTTGACATCACACCACGCGTTACACCACTAAACACTGCAAAATATGAGAAAAAAGCAGTCATCTTGACCAATAAACACGGAGGAAACAGTCAACTTGACCAATAAACACTATATACAGATTGAAGAACGACGAAGTTAGAAGAAGAACTTAACTTGGCCACTTAATACTATGACAAAACTATTACAAAGGGTACACTGCGCCATTCATTACTTCGTACTACCCGCAGGGGGGAGCCGTGCTGACACCACACTACGCGTTATACCACTAAACACTATGTGAAAAAAAAAACAGTCATCTTGACCAATAAACACGGGGGAAACAGTGAACTTGACCATAAACACTATATACAGATTGAAGAACGACTAAGTTAGAAGAACTTAGCTTGGCCACTAAATACTATGACAAAACTATAATAAAGTGGCCGCTGCGCCAGTCATTACCTCCGTACTACCCGCGGGGGGTGCCGTGCTGACACCACACCACGCGTTACACCACTAAACACTGCAAAGTATGAGAGAAAACAGCCATCTTGACCAATAAACACTATCTACAGATTGAAGAGCACTTAACTTGGCCACTATACACTATGACAAAGGGGACGCTGAGCTAGTCATTATCTCCGTACTACCACGCGTTACACCACTCAACACTACGAAATATGAGAAAAGAACAACTCAACACTACGAATTATATTCACACATAAAATCACGTGTTATGGCAGGAAAAAGAGGTCCAAGCACGAATTTCGACATCTCCATAATCGTATCGCGTCGTCAAAGTTTCTATAAAAAGTGAGCAGCGCCCCTCCCGAACTGGCTCTTTCCATACACAATTTAACGATAAAGCTACGATTACGAAGCTGTCATAATTCGTGCTTGGGTCTTGACCATTAAACGCAGAAGAAACACTCAATTTGACTAAAAAAAACTACACACTTATGAGAGAAAAACATTTGACTTGACCACTAAACACTACACACACACCCCCTTAATTATAAACGAAGAATAAGTGTGCCGGATAGCGACCACCGGCACTTGGTTTTCGTATCGTCGCAGCTTAGCTACAGAGTTTTAAGACTAAGATATTGGATGTTTAAATAAAAGATGTGATACCTTTGAAAGTCTTATAGCGTATATTGTATTCAAAAAATTGCTGTTACATAATTCGAGGAAGAGGGGTTGGGGACAATATTTTGCGACCAATGGCAGCGTCGATTTAGATATCGCGTCATGTAGCACCATACGGATTGGTGACCGAGCCGAACCTTAATTTGGCGCGTTCCGTCTCGCACAGAAATGCCAAAGAATAAGCTTTGACTAGTTACACCTTGATTTGTTCATATCACTCTTAATGCCATTTGTCATTCTTTGAACCGAGACAAAACATGGAGTAACTAATCCAAACTTATTCTTCGTTTATTAATAAGGGAGATTGAGAGGGAGTTGACAATTTTTCTTTTTAATAGTCAATATTTATTATTGACCATTAAAAAGAAAAATTGTCAACTCAACCAATAAAGAGAGAAAGACATTTGTATTCCAGACATGGATGTTTAATATGTATTTCAATATAAATATACTTATAAATGTACAGTATATGTAATCTATCCGTTACCCTAGTATCGCATAACACAAGTCTTACAGTGCTTACTTTGGGGCTAAGCTAAATGGTGTGCGTGTTGGAAATATTTATTTATTTTATTTAATAAACATTATTTACAGACTGAAAAACACTAACTTGACTACTAAATACTATGACAAAAACCACACGTCCGTACTACACGCGGGGGGCGCCGTTCTCACACCATCTACACTTTATGAGAGAAAACTAGCTGTGCCCTGCGGTGTTACCGGAGGTTTATTAGGGATATTAATTCGTAGTGAAACGTAGTCTATGTCACAGGGTGTCAGCTAACTCAACTAAAAAAGAATTTTTTATTCACCTTATCAATTAAATGGAATCATTTTTATTCCGATGCCGTTATTGTTTTTTAAATAAAAAAGAAATAAAATTTCAATGCTTCTTACGCACACTCGGTCATACGTCATATTCATTTTCCCGGTAAAAATATGGTAGCATACCAGTACAATATGGCGTCGGATTCGTGATGTCATTACCACTGGCCAGTGCTACTAGCTACTTCAGTGCACTCTATTTGCGGCTGTTGCCAAGGGAAGTTGGGGCGGGATGTTATGTTCCATTTTAATATGCAATAATGTTAGCGTATAACCTGTCTATATATTATACGTCATGTATGTAAATACAATGAAAAGCTGATTTTGTGAAAACACAATTCTCATTTTCGAATGAGTCTGCTTTCGTAAAAATTACAAGTGTCAAGGAAAACTGTAGATTACTAAAGAGTATGAGAAGCAATTAAAGTTTATATCCCCTTGCGATCCTATGCGGAACTGGAATCGGTTTTATCCCTAATTATAGTCCTTAATCATAATTAACGGCCGTACTCAGAATACTAGTAATCTGTTTCTTTATATAACGTGTTTTCTGCTTCTATTGTGTAGCAAAGACATCAGCGCTAATTTTAACCAAAGTTCTCTGAGGGCGGTTGTTAATTTTTTTTTTCAAAAGTCGATTCTTTTGCCTTTTTGGAAGGTTGTCTATAATGCTTGATATTGCCAAACCTAAAAAAAGTATTCGATGGTTTTTCCTTTTTATTAAGAGAAATTGTTGATGTTTTATTTTGAGATATTGGTGTCGATTCTGGCTTGATACTCTTAACCTAAACTTAAATTTGACATCAGTGTATCCTTCTCATTCTCTTTACTGAACGAAAAGGAGAGACTGATTTTAAATTTAGTTTTAAGTTTAGAGAATCACACCTATAGGTAGTTCTACAGGGTGGTCCAACTAGTGATGTCAACAATTTTTTTTAGATTCCTCCCACCTGGGGGTGTCCGAAAATACCCTATATATACGTATGTTCCGCGATTTTTCTTAGTTTTCGAGTTATATTTTTTTTTTGTGTATTTTTGATGATTTCTGCCAGCGAGGTTTCAAAAATTCTTATCCTTTTTCGTAGTAGGTATTTTGCAGTCTTTTTTTGTGACGTCTTGAATGTTGTTTTAATAAAAAAATAACTCGAATTTCCTGCAATTACTTAAAGTTACTCAAAAAAGGCTTGAAAGTTGGATCTTTTGTTTTGAGTAGGATTTACTCGGATAAATGGGGTATTTTCGGATACTCCCTGGTGCGAGGAATCTAAAAAAAAATTGTTGACGTCACTAGTTGGATCACCCTGTATATTTAGGGCAATGTCATTTCCTTTTCCCAATGAGCATAGATTTGAAACTTAGGCTACTAGTGAATAAGTTGTAAATAGCAGTAATTAAGTAAATAAATAAATAAATTTAAGTCCATTTTTATATTTACTAAACTGATTGATGGATGTATTAGAGGCACTAATAAATTGAAATATATATCCGGGGAGGTTAGTTATGTTTGTATATTTACTTATAGGTAACAAATTTAGTCTAATTTTTATTATTTATAACTAGCAACACCTGTGTGTTCAGTAAGTACTTTGCTATTGGCTTACTGCAAAGAAATCGCAAATGTTATTTGTACCGCGATATCAGTTGATTATGTTTTAAAGTCATTCGTCATGGAAAAATTATAGACATTTTTCAACCGAATATAAACTATAAGGGAAAACAATTTTTGTTTTATTATTTAAAGTTTTAGATTTGTATCCTTCAATATTTACAATCTTGCAAAAGATTCAGTGTATACATATTATTTATGCCAATTGAAGTTTTTGTCTATTCTTATCTGCTATTTGTAAACAGTATGTCTTTATCATGCATTATAAGGAATGAAAAGGAGAGACTGATTCATCAAGTTTACAAATAGCAAACACGAATACCCAAGAGAAGTGTCGTCATTAAACATATACATCATATACTTCCAGACACATATCGCACGTCACAAACAAAAGGGTAATCTTCAAAAACAGAGTTTTGAGATATCGCGTTTTGAAGTTTTAAAAAATCATAGAAGTGGAACTACTTGTTCAAATGTTTAAAATGATACCTTGATTTAAAAGTAAATTATCCTTCTTTGTGTTGAGTAAGTTTAGTTAGTGTATCAATAGTAGTTTTTACTTTAAAAGTACTTTTATGTGACTGGGTAAAGAGACCCTATAAGCAGCTCAAATGGATAAGCCATTTGAAACAATGGCTCGTGTTAAAATTACAACTAGTATCATTTTAAAATAATTTCGTTGAAATTAACATATTAAAAAAAATTAAATAGGCCAGAGGGTATTATTTGAAATAAAACTTCAAACTTGTATTAATCCGAACGGGCAATAGGATATTAACTTAATACTGTTTAGAATATTCACAATCATAAATTTTGCCTAGCAATTGACGACATGTGTTGCTATAATTCAAAAACTATTTCGAATTTAAAAAAGAAATGGTTTGTCGGCTTAATACCCTATTGTTTGTGACGGGCGATATATCGGCCCATCTAGCGTTTAAAGTTTTGACGGACAATCTAAATAAAATTTTGGTACATTAAGAAAAAAGATTTACACAGTTTTGAAGCTGATTTATTAACAATTTATACGTATGTTTTTAAAAATATATTATTACCTAATATATATTTTTGCTACATACCATTGAAGCTTTTAACGCTAGGTGGTCTAATAGATGTGTCTGGAAGTGTAGTATGGATACTATTTTAAACTGCACCTTATGTCAAGCAATATAAAGTTAAAAGTCAACTGGATAAAAGTTGACACTTGGATAACTTTGATTTTGGTAAATTGTATCGATGGAATGAATGAATATGATAATGAATTACGAAAGTCGGTAAAAAGGTTTTGAGAGCTCAAGCAATTTTATTCCTAACTGCAATATAATAAGACTTATTGTTGAATATTTAGTAATGAATACGAAAGCGATACTGATTTTGCTCAGAAGTCGTATTAGGAACTCTTAAATTGAGACGACATTCTAATGAGGGTTTTCTGGAATGGTGGGCATCAGGTGGCGGCACTGAGATGAAAAGTCTACTCTTGCATCAAATCGCGTATATCTTCATACTCTTTGGATCAATTTAAATGCTCGTTCGATTAGTTCGCGCCAAAAACTTCATAGAAAAGACCTGACGTCACAGAGGCGCTATTGGTGACATAAATTTTCACTAACACCTCTACTACCGAAGAAAGTTTGTCTTTTCTGTCATTGACCAAATTGTATTGTTATCATTACTCCGATCAATGGCAGCCCGCTGTCTCGTGTGACGCAGTTTTCCATTCTTTTTTGTTAGCGATTGTGTGATAAAGTAAAATACTCCACTAACTCGTTTTTATTTGCTGAGCCGCATCCCGTTTCAACCATAGAGGTTTAAGAATAGACTAGGGGAGATATAGACTCTACTACAAATGGAGGAGTCCCTCTAATAGAAAGAGAAAGAAGATGAGAGACCGCTAGCTTTCTCTCTCTAATCGCGCATGCGCATTGGCAAGCGTGAGCAACTTACTATTTCGATGTGATACCATTGGATGCTATGCGTCAAGAGAGAGATAG